TTTAATTTTATTAATTTATTGTGGTGAAATTAATTTCTGTTGTATATTTGATATTGATATTAAACATATTTTTAAAAAATGGTGTATTTTTTATGTTTTTATGTATGTCATAATTAAAAATAAATAAAGAATTTATTTTTTTTATTTTTTTAAACTTCCCGCCATTCGTGACATCAATTACGATACTTTATTTGTTTATTTATTAACGAGTCGTTTTAATTTTCCCTATAGCTTGAAAATTCTTAAGTGCAAGTTAGAAACACAGCATTTTTGGTAAAAATAAGCGGAATTGAGTTGGTGTTCGACAGTGGTCGCGCTAATAGAACTTTGAATTAAAAATCGATATCTCGAAATCTATTAAAAATAACTGATTGTAGTTTTTTCCAAAAACTTTCTTAATACCGACAGTATGTGAAAGTCTTTATAAATAAAAAAGTTACACGATTGCTGAAAATTGCTATGCACTAAAAGTAAATGGATGGTTTGTTTAAAATTTTTGAACGGAAAAAAACAACCTTATTGAATTTTTCTTATTTAAACATGTTGTAAAAGATCTGATCTTCAAAAAAGAGTTTCGTTCCAATGTCTAAAGTGGTTCTTAAGTTATGGCGTTATTTATTAAAAAGAGTTTAATAATCCCGATTACTGACGTTTTATTGTTATAAAAAAATGGACACCCTAACGATATCCTTATAATTCCATTTCAGATGCTCAGAAACATATGTAATGATTTTATCTAGTTATCTTTTCGAAAAAAAGTCGTTTAAAAATAAGCGGTTTGCGATCGTGATTTTACTTTACGTGATAGGGAAAGACGTACCGGCAACGCCGCAACAGCACACCGTCGCAATTTCCCTCACTCCGACTTAATAAGATCCCTATGCGATTTACTTCCATACATGTAAATACCGACCCAAAAGTAACAGTTGCCAGCACGGTATTAGTAAAAATACATTAAAAAAAACATACTTAAACTGATCGTTTATCAGGCTCTATTTTTAAAAATCTTCTGATTTTACTTCATTAGTCATAGACAAATATTCGCCATTTCTGGAATGAATAAATTACATTATTATCATTATATTATTAAAAATACATTAAAAACATACTTAAAGTCATCCAAAAGTGGAGCATGATCATCAATTTCGATCTTTAAAGAATCTTCCGATATCATTTTATCAGTTACAGATGTTGTACAACCAGCATTTCTGAAAATAAGAAAATTAGAACTTATATAAACTTAACTTAAAACCGCTCTCCTCGTCGCGCCACTATGTTTTTAGCCTAAGGAGAGAAACCGACAACTACAAAAAATTCCAAAAAATAGGCTTCAGATGCCTCCTTATCAAACATAAACAATAAGGCCGTCGTTCAAATTAACAAATATACCAACCATATAATATTAAAATTTAATAATAAATATAAATAAAAAAGGTACATTTTCCGTGATGCCCTAGAAATTATTTTTTTTTAATTAATACTAATATAATATATATGTCGGTTCAGAACGTTCTACGACGGTTTCCGACCCCCTAACCTCCACTCTTCTCTATATAGCCAGAGATCATCAGGTATTTCTCTATTTTCTAGTTCTTTATCCACACCATCGTCCAAGCTTCGTCTTGGCCTTGTGGTGCCCGCAGTAGGCATTAATACTAATACTTACTATTAGACAACAACTCAAGTTCTAAATATACTCGCCCGTCCGACCTGGTTCATTTGTGAAAGCTCCTTTAGCGGGCGGGAGCGATAAGAGTTTTAACCCTATATATGTCTAACATACCTTTTTAAAATTTAAATTCGAACGATATTTCTGAATAGCGATAAATCCAGAAGGAAGAAGAATTCCAATAGAAAGAAATATTAAAAAATAAGAAATTAGGTCTACAAACGTACGGAAAAAACAGAATCAGATTTCGAAAATGGCTTAGTAGTGAAGTGCCCAGAGACTGTTATCTCGGAATTCAATTACTGTGAATGTATAATGTGAAACCTTCTGTATTGTGTTTTATAGATAAAATACTAAAATGTTTACCCTTTTTTTTTCGTTGCTTTTAATTTTTTATTTTAGTAATTTTAGTAAATTCTTAATTATTTCCTTCTTAATATTTTGATTTTTTTAATTCTTTTTCTAAGTAAATTTATTGAAATAAATAAATCTAATGCATATTATGCACCTATTCTGCTTATATTCTAATCATTGAAATTTTGATTGAAATCGAATTATACAGGGTGGCGCGTTATATGCGACGCTGTTTTTGCAAGAACAAAAGTTTGTATTGAAGTGAAATTTTCTGAGCTTATTAAGTCAATTTAAAGTATTTTCTAAAATTATGTAGAGTTCTACAGGGTGTCCCCAAAAAAAGTTACACAGGGTGCTACAAATTCGAGGAACGAGCATTGGTATCTCGGTAACCGTAATAGATACGAACATGGTTAAATTGGGGCAATATTGCGTATTGGGATGTTCACCAAGATGCCATCAAAAATGTTTTAAAAATTTCAAGGATTGCTGAATTTTTTGGAAAAAACTGATTTTTTCGAAAATCAATTTTATTTTTTCCTGTCGTTACTTTTTAGAAAATCAAAAAACTAATTGCACATTCTCATAACCACTTTATTACGGCTATCTGATAATATTTTTAGATTTTCAAATTAGCTAATAATTTGTGAGATACAGAGGCCAACTTATTTTTTTTAAATACGGACCTGCATTTTTTATTTCAGATTTTGAAAGAACTCGGTCTCCTGAGTACAATAATATGCCACAATTTATACTTTTTTTTTGTTTTGGATACCTTAACAGCAACAAAACTATTTAATTATTATTTAAAATAATTTCAAGTCCGACTCTGGTTTCTTAAATTATTTAATCTGATTATATTCATCGCAACAATATTGATCAGAGCCAATTGAAATTGAATAAGGAAAATCGAGCCAATTGGAAGATTCAAATAAATAATATCCACGTCAGAAATTTAAAGATATTATTTTTAACTTTTTTTATTGTGAATTTGAAATCTCAGTGTGAGATCTAATTATTATATGCATAATATTAATCGTAGTAATTATAAATAAATCAACTTCTACAAATTAGTTTCTAATGTCCTGCATGTTCGAAAGGGTTATCACCTTCCCTATTGCACAAATTTATTTTTCGCTCAATTTTATTTATAGCTCTTTGAACTTTCTGTTTATACTTCCGAATGCATTTTGTACTCTTTATTGTAAATGTTAAGATGAACTGATTTCACTTTTACAAATGAATAATGTAGCCCCTTGGCGATAGGTCCAGGAACCTCGCTGTACATTATACTGCTCTACCATTTCCAATCCATCTTCCGAGAAATTGATTTGATTGTTTATATTATATTATTATATTTATATTAATTATTTTATTCCATTTGATTTTCCGTATTCAATGTTTTACCCCACGTCATTGTTAAGTTTGAAAGCTTATCAATATTGTAACGATGAGTAAACTAAATATTTAAAAAAAACAGAGCCGGACTGGAAATTAGTTTAAATAATATATAAAAAAAAATACATTGGTGAAACATCTCGACCCTTAAATGTTAGAATTAAAGAACATAAAGATTATTTAAGAAAGGGAGATTTTCACAGATCTAAGATTTGTCAGCATTCATGGGACACAGGGCACAGAATAAATTTTAATAACACCAAAATTATAATGAAAGAAGCGATAACCTCTAAAAGAAAAATAAAAAAGGCTTTTTTAATTCAATCTAATAAAAATAAATGTATGGCAATCGCTTCTTTGATTTTAAAGAACATAACATAAATAAACATAACATACGTAAAATTTAAAAATAATCATACAGAAAGTTTGGGCTTTTTGGTTTTACCTTATTAAGTAATTGTTATCAGGTAGTAATTGTTAATTTTGAAGTTTAACTTAATATAATGTCATTTTAACAGAACGTCAACGATTTCTTGTAGACGTATCTGTTTTAAAAAGTAAAGTGTTCTCGAATAGTTCAATATTTAAACATTTTAAATAGTTTTTTTTCTTGATTCTTTATATTTTTTTTGCTTCCGACGACGGAAAGAGAAAACTTTCCGAGACGTTAAGCATTTTTTTCTTTGTTAGGCAAATTTTTATTACTGTAAACACAACCTCTGACAAGCAGCGTCCGTTTAGGTTTAACGCAGAAGTGTTTACAAAAAATAACTATTTTATTTTGTAGATTTTTCTTGCAGTGCAGTGGCGAAATACCCATAAAGGATTTTTTTGGATAGTTTAAATAAATTATGTTCAAATGTCAAAACAAAAAAAAATATTAAGTGTGGCATATCATTATGTTCAAGTGACCGAGTTCTTTCAAAATCTGAAATAAAAAATGCAGGTCCGTATTTAAAAAAATTAAGTTCGCCTCTGTATCTCAAAAATTATCAGCTAATTTGAAAATCTAAAAATACCGTCAGATAGCCCTAATAAAGTGGCTATGAGAAGGTGCAATTAATTTTTTGATTTTCTAAAAAGTAACGACAGGAAAAAATTAAATTGATTTTCAAAAAATCAGTTTTTTACAAAAAACTCAGCAATCCTTGAAATTTTTAAAACTTTTTTGATGATATCTTGGTAAACATCCCAATAACGCAACTTTAATCATGTTCGTATCTATTACGGTTACCGAGATAATGCTCGTATCACGAATTTGTAGCACCCTGTATATGATCTAGGATTAACTATTAATTTACCTGGAATCAGTATGAGAACGCTTGACGTGACATTCTAAATAGTATTTTCGCAGATATTTGTTGTCGCAGTACGGACAAGGAAACATCTCTCGTTCTTTTGGTGCCAAATGAACTACCTCATGTTGTTTAAGGTGTCCCAGTTGATGTGCTTCGTAGCTGCATGTGGAACATGGATAGACCTTTTTCTCCGTCTTTATCTGCACCTTCTTCTTTCTAGTAAAGAATTGACTAATATTAGAGTGTGTTATGGTGCGTCCAGACCTGAGGAGTTGAGTGCGAGACGAGCGCGAGACAAGAGCGAGGCGAGAGCAAGACGAGTGCGAGACGAGAGCAAGACATTTTCTATCCATTTTTTGACGCAAGCCTGCCGCGAGACAAGCGAGTGGGATCATTAGAATAAGTGGGAGGGGGGTTAATTTCTACGACCTTGACGTGCATCGGAAAATGTTTTAAAATTTCTATATGGTTGAAGTCAGGGGCGGGAAAGTGAAATAGCAAAAGCGGTTCCACCGTTTCCACGGAAATCTCAAATAAAATAGTTCCAGCCCTAGCCACTAGGTGGTAGTGCAATTAATTTTTAAGTTAAGAAGTTGCTACTAATTATTGCCAGATGGCGTTAAATCAGAATTTTTTTGTAGTTTCCATAGTTTCCAACGGCCATTGCCATATTATTGTCAAATTCTCAAAAATATTGTCGTCATAGCGCCAATCATAATATTATCAAATAAATGATTATTAAAATGTTTTTCAAACTATAATTTGTTAATGATTTGTTATATAGTAAACGCCACGAATGTTTGGGAGTGATTCATCGGTCGCTACCATGTAGCAACTTCTTAACCTAAAAATTAATTGCACTACCACCTAGTGACTAGGGCTGGAACTATTTTATTTGAGATTTCCATGGAAACGGTGGAACCGCTTTTGCTATTTCACTTTCCCGCCCCTGGCTTAGTTATTAGGTTTGTTTCAACATAGAAATTTATATAGTAAAGGCCACGAATGTTTGGGAGTGATTCATCGGTCGCTACCATGTGAACTAATCTGTTCAAGGTCACATAAAACTTAATTCCAGTGCCGTGGTGTTTCAAATCATATAATAATCAATATATAATCTGTTGTAATTTGTTGTTTTAACTGTCAAAGTCTTGTCAAAACATATATTTGGTTATAAATATAAAATGGAATGCCCCAGTGGTCGCACTGCAAGCACACCAATGGACTTGACGCACAAAAACGAATCAATCAAAGAAACGCGATATAGTATCGTCTTTGTCAATCACGCTAACATGTTAGAATAAGTAGGAGGAGCGCAGGCAGATGATTAGACCGGGCCTTAAAAACCTACGTCTGCGGTAAAAATTTACGTTTTTAATGTAAAAATGATAGCGCGCGTGTCGATTCTAACTTCATCAAGCGATAAATCACTCCCAAATATTCGTTTACTATATATGTTATATATATAAAATATAATGTAAGTTTTTTATTTTTGCCATCATTTAAGTACCTATTTATATTTACTCCATTTATAAAACTTTGGGCGTACTACGTTGGTCTTGTTTTATTATAATAAACGATGTTTAAATATTTTACTTATAAATAATAAATAATATTTCACATGTTTGGCTTTAATTTTATTTAATAATTGTATACATTATACTGTTAAATCTTATTTTTTACACATCACAACGATACTTGTCATTAATATTGTTGAATTTGTGTAAAAATAAGATTTAATAATCAAATTTAATTATTTTAGAGTAAAATTCAATAAATACGCTCATTTAAAAAGCCCGCGCTTCGATCCATCTAAAACAAGCCCTACTCAATAGATGGCGCCACTTCTGTAGGACCATTTTTCAGTATGGCAGAGTCCATTCTTTTTCTAGCTAGGTATATTCTTTGGTTGAAGTCCAAGTTTTCAAGCAACTGAATTGAGCATTATTAAATAACTTAGATATATTATCTTCGTTTATTATGTTATTTCACTTACGAACACCAGCATCACGGTATGTCGCTTTTTATTTTGTCTCTCTGTCTTCTTGTATGTATTTATCTCTGTACGAAAATAAAGTGAACAGGGCTGTATAGTTCTTATTCAACATTAAATTTACCTGAAATTAAGATGATTACATTCAAGGTGATAAGTTAATCCGTTTTTTGTTCTATATTTGTGGTCACAGTGTGGACAAGCAAACATCTGTCTTTCTTCCGGTGCCAAATGAACTATTTGGTGTGCTTTAACACTTCCACTATGTCGTGTTTGAAAACTACACATGGCACATCTATAAATTTTTTTCTGCGGTTTCTTCAATTTGTTAGCCCTAATAAAATAATTTTTAAATATTACAACCTTGTAATTGTACAAATCAGAATTCATCAAACATACAGGGTGTCCCAGGCTGAGCGTGCATTAGAAGTTTCTAGAGAACCACAATATCTAGATCGGAGATTTTTTCAACATCATTGTTTTGCAACGAGATCTATCGATTAAAAATATTTTCGATATGGCGGCACTTCCGGAAATACCGGAAGTTGGCAGCAACTTTCTTATTTTAAATGGGTGCCCCCATTTTTTATTACATATTTAAATTATCTGTAAAATTCTATGAATATTGATGTTAAACACTCTATATCTAACATTAACCGTTTTTGAGAAAAAAATATTTAAAATTTTTGGACGAAAAAATCTACCTGTCAAAAAAAATTTGTATAGCCTAAACGTCAAATTTAGTGATTACCACAGCCACTGTGACATAAAGAGAAGACATGTGGCTATCTATTTCAAAAATTAAATTGTTCAAATGTCATATAACAATGGCGATAGCTGTCATGAAATTGAGCGATTGAAAAATTATCATAAATCACTTTTTTCAAATGGAAATCCACTTTTTTTATATCACCAATGAAAAGGTTTTTCAATTCGTTACTTTTTAATTATACATGTTCCTATACCTAAAATAAATCGTTTTTAAGTTTTTTCTTGATTTTATCTGGCTTCCTTTGACATTAAGTGTCAAACGGTCAGATAATTTATTTCCCCTCTGTCAGAAAACGAATTATGTGAATTTCCTATATTATAAATACTGCCTGCCTTAAGAGTTTAAAAAGTGTATTTATAAAAATATATCTCGTGTTTTCGCTCTTTAGCGATATCTAACAGTTGATATTATTAATATTCCGTTTGATAAAAAAAATCAGCGCAAAGTTGGCTCGGAAATGATGCTGCTTTTTGAACAAAGCGTCACAATAGGCCAGATCTATTCTTTTACAACACTTGACGTTTACAGTCATAGGCTACTGGTTAAAATCAAGAAAAATATACGCTTTAAAACTTTGAATAACTTAAAAACAATTTATTTTAGGCATAGGAACATGTATAGTTAAAAAGTAACGAATTGAAAAACCTTTTCACTAGTGAAATAAAAAAAGTGGGTTTCCATTTGAAAAAAAAATGATTTATGATAATTTATTAATCGCTCAATTTTATGACAGCTGCGGCCATTATTATATGACATTCGAACAAATTAATTTTTGAAATAGATAGCCACATGTCTTCTCTTTATGTCACAGTGGCTGTGGTAATCACTAAGTTTGACGTTTAGGCTATACACATATTTTTGACAGGCAGTTTTTTTCGTTCAAAAATTTTAAATATTTTTTTCTCAAAAACGGTCAATGTTAGATATAGAGTGTTTAATATCAAAATTGATAAAATTTTACAGAGAATTTAAGTATGCAATGAAAAATGGGGGCACCCATTTAAAATAAGAAAGTTGCTGTCAACTTCTGGTATTTCTGAAAGTGCCGCCATATTGAAAATATTTTTAATTGATAGATCTCGTTGGAAAACAATGATTTTCAAAAAATCTCCGATCTAGATATTGTGGTTCTCAAGAAACTTCTAATGCACGCTCAGCCTGGGACACCCTGTATAACCTCAGATATCTACCCATATTCTAATCCACCAAAGACAAATATTCCTGCTAAAAGTATGCCATATACAATTAGAGTTTCTATAAAAGTTTTTGGATATTCCAGGCAAGTGAGTCCTGAATCCAGACAAAATCCGGACTTTGTCAAAAAATAAATTATGGATTTATTTATGTAAAATTTGTCTAGTGATCGAAATCTTCCCTAACTAGTTGGACAGACTTTAGCTCATGCTAATTATATACAGAGTGGTGCCTTCTCATACGACGCGAAGGCTCTAAGGAGAACGAGTGTTTCTGTTGAATTTGAATTTTGTGGGCATATGTAGGCTAATTTAGAGCATTTCTTAACCCTTTACTTGGCAAAAGAAAATATAATAATAAGCTTAAAAAATGGCGCTTTTTATGAAGTCATGGCCAACTATGGTTTCCATTTAAAAAAACATATGTTTGTATCATATGTGAAAAATGACAGGCTCTAGAAAAAAGCGGACGACACAATCTCATTAAGGATGTGATTATCTACAACTTTTATCTGAAAACTTTTTGTCTAAAATAGCTTATAATGGAATTAGGGACAATTTTTAAAATAGCCGAAATTTGTTTTTTTTTCGAAATATCTAGTAAGCCATGAACTTTTTCTAAATTCTGACAGGCGCATATTTATGACCCCTGAAAACTGCAATTCTTTCCCCAATTAACCGACTCTCTATCTCCAGTAGTTTCCGAGATACCCAGACATCGGGGAAACCCGGGAAACTCACCCTGTAAAACAGCACATAATCAGATCTACTCATGAAGAAAGAAAGACAAGTCTATATGTGTAAAACAGAAACGATAGGGTTAGGTAACTACTGCGCATGCTTACTATACAAAGTAGTGTACTTGTGTCTAGCCCTAGCAGGCAACTGTTAAGCCCGACGATGTTCAGGGGTCAAAACCTAGTTGGGCCTTTGTTTTCTATATTTATTTTACTATTTATAACTTTAATTTTTTCAGATAAAAAAACGAGATTTTGTATGTTAGTATATGACATAAATTACGATTGAATAACGTATTCAATTGTTTTTGGTCACTTCCTGTTTCGCTGAAAATGACTACAACTTTTGATTTTTAAATGGCACCCCCGGTGTTTTTTCACTTTATTCGAAAATTACATTCTGAATAGAATGACATATCAAATGTCAACTTTCGACATTCTTGCTTAATAAAAAATGTGAGCCACTTTTGAAACGTACCCGGTAGATAGGTAAGATTTTTGTTGAAAAATAACAATAATTAAAAATTTCCTTGTCGCTGTTATTTCTTTCACATATTTGAAGTCCTTATATCTAATTAATAATAAACAATTTTCATAAAAAATCACAAAAGATATCTTAAACTCAATTTATTGAGAAAAGAAACAAGTTATTATTTTGTATTTGTCTCATAGAAAGCTGACAAAATATTATAGTGATTAATATTATATCTGTGATATCGAGAAGTGATATCTAGTAGTAGCTATCATAGTGATTGTTATTTGCCAACATGTCACCAATTTAATAATGCACAAACCAAAGGTGTGTAGTAACTAATAAAATACTCAAAGGTTTTCTCTTCTACTAAAAAAAGGACGATCCAATTCTGATGTCATTAATGTACGTATGCAGGACAAATCTTAAACAGAGGCAAAATGGTATAATAGTTAACAATTTTTGAATTGCTTTTAATTTTCCTTTTAAAGTAAAGGTCCATCTGTCCAACGACTGCGACGAGGGAAAATTATCATCCCAGACATCCAAACAATGACAGAAAATATAATTTACCTATGAATTAAAATGACAGACAATAACTCTCTCACTTTCAGGCGTTCTTTACATAAATAAATTCATACTTTGTTTTTCGCCAAAATCTGGATTTTGTTCAGATTTCAGAGCTCACTAGTCCGGAATTTACAAAAACTTGTATGTACCCTAAGTAAGTATATTATGCAGAGTATAGAATATGACAGAGGGGGGTTAATCACCGGGACCTTAAAGATCTATTGTGCCCCCTTTCTTGAATTAGAACTCATGCAGTCTATAACTCATCATACATGGGGATTTTCCTGTTGTAGGGGGGACAGGGTAGTTGCCAGCCCCCTCTGACAAAAGAGGTTCTCCCAGTTGTAGAATCAATAATAAATATCATAAATTAAGCTCAGTAAAGATAGACAAATCCACAAATCCTCCTCTGACAACTAGTGATGAGCGAGACTGCTCTTGGTCTTGGTCTTGCGGTCTTGGTCTTGCATTTTTCCTTCAACTATTTCCACTATTCAATTATCATGTAGTACTAATACTTACTATTCAGAAACAGAAATTTTCAAACATTGTTTCTTTTTTAAAAGTTTTATTAAATTAATTACTTTAAGTTACTTGAAAAAACACTTTCTTAAAGATTTCCTATGCAGAAATTACCTTCAGTAAAAATGTAAACAAAAGTGCAAGACCTGCAAGAGTCTTGCAGCAAGCAAGACCAAGGCTGGACCCTGCAAGACCAAGACCACTTCCTATTTGCAAGACTAAGACCAAGGTGAGTCTTGGTCTTGGTCTTGCATTTGCTCATCACTACTGACAACAAATGTTCTCACTCCGAGGAGTGGACATCTACCTCCTACAAGGGTATACACCCTTCCATGGTTGAGGTTCCTCCCCCGGCGCCCTTTACAATCAAGGAGCTTGTTTCCTTATGGTGGAGGCTGGAGGATCTGTGTCCATTTTTCCCACCTAAGTAAGTATATAGATTTGCCTATACCATACAAAGAATCTTTTGAACAATAAGCTATAGTCACAGCTATAGTTGAATCTACAGGATAAAAATGTTCCACTATTAACAATTATCGACAAATTTTAATTTGGTTTGGATAGACAATAAACATCAATATCATTGTCTTCTCAAAGAATACATGAAAGCATGAATCAAAATTTTAAAATACAAGGATATGAACTTTTGAATAATTTAAAAACTGAATTAATACCTAATTAATACTTACGATTCTAAATCTATTTCTTTATCTGGAATATCCATGGTTTTTAACAAAAAAAACTTCAGACTTCAGTTAACAGGAGCTATCTTGAATAGAGCAAAACCACGCAGAACAATTTATCACTTATACCTTAGACCTAAACCAACCTAAACTTAATTATTAATATTATTAACACATATTCGGACAGGTGTTGTTATAGGTATATAGATGTCATTTAATTAATACAAGAATTAAAAGTATTTATGATTTACAACTACAATTATTTACAACAAAACATACACGACCTGCACCAATAATAACAAAGACAGTGCAAAGACCATAGCAAAGACATAGACAAATTTCAAACAGTGTTGCCAGAAATTTTCGAGCGTATTCCCTTCCCTAGGAAATAATCTATATATCCTTGGGTGGATGAGTGCTTACCACAGATACAGAACTAATGTGCTTACATGGTGCTTACTCAGTAGCTGCTCCTGGCTGCTCAGCTCAGTAGTATTCTAACCTCACAATCTATTATAAAAAATAAATAGTATAATTTTGCATTTAAATTATGGCAAAATGGAACAAAATTACGCGGAAGAGCTCGGGTTAAGTACCAGCGAGGCTTTAAACAAACTCTATGTCGAAATTGAATCTGTCTTATTACAATTTAAATATTCGCAGAAATCTAGGTAAGCATTACAAACCAGTACTCCGCAAATACATGCTATTTATCTATTTTATGAGTTTATCTGTAATGTAATCGAGTTGATTTTAATTGCTATATATAGGAAATCGAAAAATTTGGCCTGGATAAGAGACGCATTAAGTCTGAAAAGCAAGAATACTACTATAGATTGGATTGCCGCAGGTTTCCAGCTTTGGACTTCTTTGGCATTGGTGTTGGGTTACTGTTTGGACGGAGATAATGTGGAATTATACGAAGCGTTTATAATTTTCGTTCTTTTAATCCTTAATATATCTATAGAGCTTTACAATAATAAATTACGACACAATGAGATACCAAATCGAGTTGAAATGGTGCTGGATAAGTTGAAAAGGGAGATGAATCATATTAATTGGAAGCCAGAAAATTACGCTAATCTTTATACACCGTTATCACCCTGTATTACGTTACAATGGACCTACAGGGATGGGCACCTAATTCATTTACCATGGGCCTTACTAGTCAAGGATGATATTATTTTAGGTATCTTTTCATTAATAGTTATTTTAAATACTTTAATTATTTTTTTAGTAAAACCTGGTCAGATTTGTCCAGGATATTGTGAAGCTTTAGATAAACAAACTGAACATCAGATTCTACATGCAAAAGAGATTTACTCTCCTTCGCTTCAAAATGCCAATGAAATATTTAGTGCACCGAAATCAAAGAAGCCTTTGGAAGCAAAAAAATACAGGTATTTTATCTTAAATGTATATTTTTTAAATTTTACTATTGTATATGTCTCTAGATTACTAGAGACTCCGTATTTATATAATTTGAAAATATCTTTGGAAGAAGCGTTAGATCGGCCTGTGACTCAACACAATCAACAAAGGCACTTTGTTATGGTCAAAGTTATAGAATATATAGTTTTACCTGTAATGTTTTTACTTGTATTTTCTGCTAATGTTTTCAGGTAATGAACATTTTGAAAAAAATTGTTATTGTTATTCTCTTGGATTTTCTTTTTAGATATTTATATTTTCAACAATATCTAGGACATTATTCTATAGCTAATATGTTTTTTATAAGTCCTAGTAATGCAATTTTACCACTTCTGCCAATTGTTTTCCCGTTGGTATGGAATGTATCGAATTGTATTGGAATGGCAAGGTATATAATTTAAATACAGTGTTTACATTTTATTTTCTCTCATTTTTAACTTGCTAACGTTTTTAATTTTGAAGCTAGGACATTTAAAAAAAATATTTGATTTTTATATTCATTATTATTCATTACCCGGTTAATCTCGAGAATAACACACAACAAAACAACCAAAAACAAAACTAAGTGTATGTCCATGGTACAAAGAAAACAAGATATGATCGATCGCGGCTCCAATTTCGTTAAGTTTGCGCATACCACCTGTGACGTCATACGCCATACAAAAAAATATTCATATTGTCCAATTGCCACTAATAAAAAAAGACCTAAAATAGGGAAGAATTAGGACATAACCCTAAAAGTTATGTCAAATCATCGAGCTTGACACTTGAAAAATTATTTTCACATTTATTATGTCATCTGTTTGACAATTTGAAATTGGCGCGCAGAGCTTGCCGACCAATGGTGCCGTTTATCACCTGTGACGTAGTGACCAACCTGTGCAATATCATACCTTGTATTCTTTGTATCATGGTGTATGTCGACCCAAATTCTGTTAATGTCGACATTAACCGGACATCGGACATTAACCGTAACATATATACTGAAAACCGTACTGGGTAAACCGTTATCACAAAACATCCCCCTTTAGAACTTCATCTGTCATGTTAAGAAATGAAAGTAAATAATAAAGCGCCTCTCGTGTTTGTTCGCACTCTAAAAATTTCAATTAATTCCTGTATTATTTTATTTATTTTTAATATATTTTTTAAATTTACATTTTTTTAATTGTAAAGTAATATATTACATTTAAATGGAATATATTACATAACAATTATGTCAATTATAGGATTACAAGCTTGTTTTCTAACATTTTTTAAATAAAACGAATTATAAAATTTCAATATATGTATATTTATCGTAGTATGAAAAAAGTAAAATATAAAATGCTTACTTACATTGCAATAAAACTTCCACTTTTAGTTTTGCAATCCAAACGCAATATTTCTATTTCACAAATAAAAATATCCGACAACACTAAAATCACTGAAACTTCCGCGGCTGACAACGAAAACTGAAAAATATAACGGCACTTTTTGTTTTGGACCTGCATATTAACATTACGCTGTACTATTATGTCTTTGTTGTTGAAATAATATAAAATATCTAATTATAACTTGTAAATTTTAATATTTTAACATGATTTTAACTACTCTTGACAAAAATTTACTTTTTGTTATCAAGATGACATTTTAGACGGCAACTGACATATATGTCATAATATTTGAATCTTAAATATGTATGTAATATAATTTAAATTACTATAATGCAACTTTATACTAAGAAAACATTTATACATTCACAAAATACAACAAAGTCTAATAATATAATTTGAAAACAATGAATATTGAATTAAAATTGAAAAAGTTAAGCGCGACCCCTTGTGTCAAAATTAGATGATTACATTTTCGCAATTTTTACACCATTTGATGACTGGTAGCGCCTCTAGTGTTTGTTCGGACGGTTGGTCTTTTACTCCCGCTTTTGGCCATTAAAGAAAAAGTTCTAAAGGGGGATGTTTTGTGACCGTTATGCGTAGACGAGGCTTTAAAAGTGGGACAGAATAAAATGTTAACATTAAAAATAATGATGATGTTTCTCAAATTCGCTAAATTTGATTAGATTTAAAGCGATTTTTGACGCTTCAAGACTGTTTCGACCAAAGTACAATCCTTTAGAAGAAGACACCGATACAACAAATGAATATAACGAAGACCTGAAATGTTCTTGGAAGGAAATCTATAAAAATTTCATCGATATTTGTAAAGGAAACCCAGAAATTCTTTGCAGATCTGAAAATATTTTACACGTGTTGGGATCTGTGTCTGCTTTAGGCTGTGTAGATAAGAAAGGAATCCTTTCCTGGCCTAATCCTACTGCCGAGAAAGTGTTTTTCTTACACAATAGGGACCAGGATACGGATAGTTCAGAAACAAGGTGCTTTACACACATTTTTTTTGTACGGGGTCACGCAGGCTTCTGAAACAGTTCTATATTAGGTTTTTGGTTTATGATGTTTAATTCCTAATTAACTATTATACAGAGTGGCCCATCGGAAACGTTCCGCAAGGCATAACGGCCAGAATAATTTTTTTTTCAGAAAATTCAAAAGGGGGACAACTTTTGCCCCAAAAATTATTGCAAAATCTTCAACCCTCTAAGCGGGGGTGTCATCCCCCGATTTTTTTCAAATGGGAAGGGGGGTCAAGTGGTACCGCAGTGAAAAGGGCTTTCTGTTCTCTATACTTTCCTGCTTCGTTTTTGAAGATCGGCCGAGTCGTTGGGAAAACATGAAGGATTGAAATTTGAAAAGTTTTTTAAACGTTTATCAGAGTAAATGGTAAGGATAAATTCCTTCGACCAATTTGCTGTTTTTTCTTATTATTTCTAGATGTCTGCAATCGGGTTGCGCAGATATTCAATGAACGCCATCCTGACAAACACCTTTATGGCAAAATTGTTCGCCAGTTAGTAGCAAAATTTCGCGAAACTGGTTCCCCTCACAAACAAAATTGACGTGTTTTTGGTTTTTTTGAAAAAATGAATACCCTGGCCGTTATGCCTTGCGGAACGTTTTCGATGGGCCACCCTGTATATATACAGGGTGGCGCACCTCATTCGCCTCTGTTGATTATACGAAAATGAAAAGATGTAGAAACAAATTTGTTATGGGTATATGTAGAGAGGCAATGTGCATAATTTAAAATTATTTTCACATGTACAGGGTGTGTCAGAACTAAGATCCATACCAAAGTTATATTTTTTCTTATGGAACACCCGGTATTTTATTTCATTTTTGGATTCTTCGGTATAAATTATTTTTTATGTATGAAACGAACAAAATTCTTACAGCTTTCGTGTATATTAATAAATAATATTTTCTTGCCTTTAGCTGTGTATTTTTTCTAATTTTGAAAAATCGAAAGTAGAGAAAAAAATAAAAAGTAAAAAGAAAATTGTTTTGCTTGTCGTAAATTGAATCAAGCTCCACTCCCACAACCGGTTTCTGGGCGTACCCTTCATCAGGTGGGCTGTCCAGGGGCTAGTTCTCACCGATACGGCAAGCAAAACGTTTTCAATATCAACAGACGATGTCGTAAAGTGTCGGTGAGATATTAGTGCATCTCCCGTTCCTGTTTTATTGTTTGAAAGAGCATTTAAATCTGCTTCGACTTATTTAAAGAAATACATAGTGTTGCATTTAAAAAAACGATGTTTTTATGTAAAATAAATATTTAAAATAGACCAGCAATTTTTAATACCCCATACAGTTTATTTCTCTGGCTTGAAAGTCACCACAAGAATTAATTCTGAAAAGTAATGTACGGTGTGTCCCATTTTGGTTGAAATCATAGGGTATCTCCGTTATTAGTGAAGATAGAAGGGTGCGATTTGCACAAACCTGTCCCACTTTTTCGTCAAACGGAAGATGCTGCAAACAAAATTTTCATAGCCCTCTTCATTTCTGAGCTACAGGGTCTTTTCAAAAATTTTGCAATTTGGGACACCCCCTGTATCTCTGTTATTGTTAAAGGTATCGAGAAGGCGAAAACTGCTTATTGTAGAACTTTTTACGTAGAATACAGTGGCGTAGTCTGTTTTTCTACCCAAAAAATATTTTTGAAAATATGAACTAAAGTTATGTTTTTTTTCAAATGGAACACCCTGTATATTTATAAATCATATGATCTGTTTTGCTACGAGCTTCTCAAAAATATATATCACTCTATATTTATTTTCACTATTTACTGCAATATTTAAAATATATCATTTTCTTACTAGTAGGCCGTGATAAATAACAAAAAATCAAAATGGTGTTTACTAAAATAGTCGTACACATAATTAAATTTATTTGGGATTGATATATTTCACTTTTGAAATAACTGTTACCACTGAAACTGTGAATATATTTTTCTTTTTTTTATAACGGGATGGGTTTGCAAATATCTAAATCTTGAATTATTAAAGCATTTTTCAGGTGTTCGACATTGTTGTAGTGCCCACGATATATTTCGTATTTCAAAAATCCCCAAAATCAGAAATCAAGAACGGCGAAATCCGGGAATCGAGGAGGCTATCAATATGCGTTTATTGGTTCCAATTCATTGATTTGAAAAATACTAATTTAACAGTATTCTAATATTTCCATAGTTATGAGGGGGAATGTTCCCCATCTTGCTGAAAGTATATTTCACGTAAATTATCTAAAGGAATATCTAAAATTTCCGATACGATAGATTATTCTTACGTATACACGTATTCCAAGATTTACAAATAGCGGTAGAGAGTTAAGTTTCCCTAATATATAAAGAATTTATTAGCGGCTCCCGGTAATAAAACAAGAGACAGATAGCAGTATACTTTTAATAATTCTTTAGTTTCTTTTATTATCAATCATGGCCTACTAATATATATGATCTTTTAATAAAAACTTTTAAATATTGCAGTAAATAGTGAAAATAAATATAGAGTGATATATATTTTTGAGAAGCTTATGGCAAGACTGATCATATGATTTATAAATATACAGGGTGTTCCATTTAAAAAAAAACATAACTTTAGTTCATATTTTCAAAAATATTTTTTTGGTAGAAAAACAGACTACGCCACTGTATTCTACGTAAAAAATTCTACAATAAACAGTTTTCACCTTCTCGATAGCTTTAACAATAACAGAGATACAGGAGGTGTCCCAAATTGCAAAATTTTCAAAAAGACCCTGTAGCTCGGAAACGAAGAGGGCTATGAAAATTTTGTTTACGGCATCTTCCGTTTGACAAAAAAGTGAGACAGGTTTGTGCAAACCGCACCCTTCTATCTTCACTAATAACGGAACCTTCTTCACTAATAACGGAGATACCGTATGATTTCAACCAAAATGGGACACCCTGTACAAGGTTTTGACAGACTTTTTTTTATTATAGCATGCATATTTAAATATCTTTAAATATCTCAAAGGATCGTTATAATAAATGCCTTATTTTATGTCCAAGAATTCAAAAATGAAATAATATATCGGATGTTCCATAAGAAAAAATGGTATGGATCTTAGTTCTGTCATACCTTGTACATTTCAAAATAATTTTAAATTATGCACTTCCCACGTATACCCATAAAATATTTTGTTTCCATATCTTTCTATTTTCGTATAATCAACCGAGGCGGGTGAGGTCCGCCACCCTGTATACCGGGTGCGTCTCAAAAGTGGCACACCCCTATAACTTTTTTATTTTTTCAGATAAAAAGGAGAGATTTGGTATGTTAGTATATGACATAAATTAGGATTGATTGACGTATTCAATTGTTTTTGGTCACTTTCTGTTTCACCGGAAATGACTACAACTTTTGATTTTTACATTACACCCTCCATATTTTTTTACTTTATTGAATAGAAAACGATACTCCGAATAGAATGACATATCATGTCAACTTTTGACATTTTCGCTTATAAAAAAATATCTAGAAAAAACGCTAGATCCTCGACAAGGAAAGATAGAGTAGAGATCTTTCCTTGTCGAGGTAGATAGAGTAGAGATCTTTCTTTTCCTTATCGTTTCTATCTTTCAACAAAAAATACAATACTAAATGTTGAATTTTTTTCCACTATTTTAAATGGATCACCCTGTATTTTGTATTATAATTGAACAAAGTTTTGTTTAATATTTTTGTTTTATTAAGAACTTCCTATACCTAAAATCGATATTTATTGAGAAAATTGTGTTTTTTTTGAAAATAAGACAATGTTTGAATTTCGCTTTTTCAATTGAAGGCGTTTTTCATTAAAATTGTCATACCTTCTAGTATCTAGCCTAATTAGAAAAACATTTTAATTAACTCTTGTAATATAGAGCTAATATAAAGCTTTTTTGGAAGCCTGGGTCACCTCGTATACTTTCAGTTTGGTTACCCTATACTGGGTATTCCCTAAGTATTCTAAAAAAGTCAGAGCGTGATTCCTCATCTGTTTTTAAGAAAAAAAGTTCATATAAACGTGGGGTGTAAAGTACATACATACATACATACATACAGCCGTTACTCGCTGACGAGTATTCGACACACATAAAGAAGATGGTCACGCAAGGCGTTTTCTTTCATGAGCTTTTGTGTGAGTGAAAAGCCCGATACGTGATGTTCTCTGCCTACCGCACTCCGGACATTCAAAAATCTCATTGCTTTGTTGCCTCCTTACTTTTTGGTTGTCGCTGTTAACTGAGTTTACAACTCTTCTCCATTGAGTTCTATTGTGATCTGCTGTTTCCCACTCATTCTGCATGTTAATCCCCTTAAGTTTTCGTTGAAAATGTCCTTGTACCTTTTCAGTGGTCCACCCGGCCTCCTCTTACCGTCTACAAGCTCACCGTAAAGCTGAGATTTTGGTATGCGGTTTTCTTGCATTCTGCATACGTGACCAGCCCATCTTAAGCGGGATTTTGTAACCATGACTTCAATACTCTCGCAGTTAGCTTTTTCAAGAACCGATACGTTTGAGACATGATGGAACCACCGGATTCTTAAGAGTTGTCTAAGGCGTCTCTGTTCTAAGGTGTCTCTAAGGTGTCTCTGTGTTGTGTAAAGTACTTCCCTTTTTTTTCCCTTTACTTAAAAATAAAAACAAATCATTTTTTTGAAATATGTCGAAAACTACAGTAGATATTGTCTTCAATTTTCGTTAACTGTTATTTTTCTACTTGAACCAGTGGCGTCCGTACGCATACACTTTTGGATTATTTGATTTAAAAAAAATGGTATGCCACTGCTTTTTTCCAGAAAACATCTTTTTCTTGATTGTCCATTTTTTTAAGAAGATTGATCTCTTGAGATTTTCCTGTATATCTAAACGGTTTTCGAGAAAAAAAATTTAAATCAAATACATTGCATATAAAAAACTATGCAATGTAGTTGATTTATTTTTTTTCTCTCGAAAACCGTTAGAGATACAAGAAAATTTCAAGACATCAATTTTGTTAAGAAAGTATTGGCAATCAAGAAAAAAGTTTTCTCGAAAAAAGCAGTGGCGTACCATTTATTTTAAGCAAATAATTCATGGCCTTGTGTGTATAGGCGCTACTGGTTCAAGTAGGAAAACAATAGTTAATGCAAATAAAAAACTGCTTTTATACCTGGACACTGCATACCATAATTGAAAAAAAAAAATACTTAAAGTACAGCTGGTTCCAATAAAATTGAATACGATTTAAAACATATTTTTATTATTTCGGGCAGTATATTCTATGATACCAGTCCCCCATTTCTCTATTTTCACTTTGTCAAAAGCAAAGTTGCTTTATACAATGTCACAATAACCTTAACATGTCAAAATACTTGACACATAAATATACACCTCCCAAATATTCGAAAAAATGTGTAGAGTCGTCGTATTGCGAGAATTTTTTTTTAATTTTTAACGCCCTTTAGATCAGAAAGGAAATTATTTAGACCCCATGTTTATAATATAAACTTTTTTTCTTAAAAACATATGAGGAATCATCCCCTAAAATTAACACCCAGTATACTTTTAGTTTAGTCAATGTGAATGATTTAGCCACAGATCAATCCACAGAAACCACAGGAAATATTAATTTTGATGCGGATAGCCCTTTAAGTGCCACGCCTGAAGTATTAGACCTGACTCACAATCACAGTGAACCTTTCAGACTACATTTTGACGATCACAACTGGCAAAAATATTTGTCTTCATTGAAACCCCTCGGTTTGGGCATTCTGTTAAACACTTGCAATTTGGACACACAAGATCGCTATTCACACTTTTGTTCACACATTACGTGTGAGGCGATGTACAATGAGAACTTGGTACCCGTGACTAATAGGAGGTGTTTGTGTGAACTGGCTAAGGAGATCGGTTTTTTGGATCAGGCACAGAAAATTTTCAATTTGGAACAACAATTGTCTGTATTTAGGCATCTGGTTAGTATTTTTTTGGTTCTGTTTATTACAGGGTTGAAAAAATATATTTTTTTCTTTTTAAACAAAACTTTGTTTTTATGGTTTAAAACCATTTTTTGTTCTGTTTTATCTTTATTTAGCTCTATATGCTCTCTTGGATGCAAATTGGTGTCTGGGAGTTTTTTGACATGAGAAATTTGATTTTGATGTCAATATGACTCCTACTAGTAGGGGGCGCCACCTACGTGTGTTTTAACTGTTTTGAAGCGTAATAATTTTTTGTCCGTACCTGTATAAAACTACCGAGCGAAAAAATAGACATCTCTGTGATTTTTTACGTAGAAAATATCTCTTTATAAAAATCGCTACGAGCAACCGTTGTTCAGATATTAAGAATGGAAATAGTAAATACATGTCATTATTGACGAAAAAAATTTATTAATATATCCTCTAACTAAATTATTCAATAGATGTATAAGAGACGGTACGTATCCCAGTTGTTTAAAAATTTCCAAAATCGTACCAGTATTTAAAAAAGGTGATCCTGAAAGTGTGAATAATTATAGACCTATAGCTTTAATACCCACACTTTCAAAAATTTTTGAATGTTTATTGAAACACCAGTTAACACATTACTTTGAATCTAATAACTTGTTCATAGAGAATCAGTTTGGGTTTCGTAAAGGAAAATCTACAACTATGGCTTGCATTCGTTTGATGGAAGATATAATTGAGGGTTTTGAGAGCGGTAACTATGTTGGTTCGGTCTTCTGTGACCTAACCAAGGCTTTTGATTGTGTGGATCACAACATACTTTTGCAGAAAATTTCATATTATGGAGTAAATAATTTGAGTTCGAAATTATTGGTTGATTATCTTGTAAACCGATCTCAACAAACATTAGCGAACGGTACGCTCTCTGATGTGAGTGTTGTAAAATATGGGGTTCCGCAAGGCTCAGTATTAGGACCTTTATTGTTTTTAATTTACATTAATGATTTACCTGTGGCTACACTTCAGAATAATTTGATTTTGTTTGCCGATGACACTACTATCTTATGTGCACGGAAATCCCCTGAAGAAATTCAAACTAATTTTGAATCGATTTTGCTAAATGTTGGTGACTGGTTTCAGGCAAACCGATTATGCCTGAATGACACTAAAACAGAAAGAGTTATTTTTTCTCTTAGAACAAAATATAAAGTAGATTTCTGCAGTGCCCGATTTCTGGGAATAAAATTTGACACAAAACTGAGTTTTGAAAGTCACGTAGACTATGTGGCAGGGAAGGTTTCCATAAGCATGTATGCATTTCGGCGATTGGCTAAGTGTGTGGAGAGTGATGTGTTAGTAGCTGCCTATCATGCTCTCATTCACTCGGTGCTTACTTATGGAATACTTGTTTGGGGTCACTCAGCTCATGCTGACAGACTGTTTGGACTGCAAAGAAAATCATTGAGAATTTTGTCAAATTTAAGTTATCAAGCAGATACAAAAAACGCCTACAAAAGACTGGGAATACTGACACTTCCATGTTGCTATATCCTCCAGTGTCTTTTATTTGTGAAGGATAACCTCGAACTATATACTACGCATGATGAACAACACAATTATGCAACCAGAAACAGAATTAATATAAAGCCTGTTCATTTGCGCCTCGGAAGATCTTGGAACTCCAGCCTTCATTATGCTCCTGCATGCTTTAATAAATTATCTCAAAATGTCAGAAATTTACCAAGACATCAATTGAAAACGACAATTAAAAGGTACCTTCTTGATATGGCTTATTTTAGTGTTACTGATTTTTTAGAAAGCAGTGAAGGGTTATAGCGTGGTTATAGGTTAAAGCATTTACATTGTGTATGTATTGTTTTTTTGTGTACTTTAAATTACTGTTAGATAATTATTGTGCTTATTTTATAATTTTGCATTTTACAAAATATGACTTTGTGTAAGGATACTTGTATCTATTAACATGCAATAAATGATTTTGATGGTTTCAAAATGGTTTTATTTGATTTGATTTGATTTGATTTGATTTGAATTGATTTGATTTGATTTGATTTGATTTGATTTGATTTGATTTGATTTGATTTGATTTGATTTGATTTGATTTGATTTGATTTGATTTGATTTGATTTGATTTGATTTGATTTGATTTGATTTGATTTGATTTGATTTGATTTGATTTGATTTGATTTGATTTGATTTGATTTGATTTGATTTGATTTGATTTGATTTGATTTGATTTGATTTGATTTGATTTGATTTGATTTGATTTGATTTGATTTGATTTGATTTGATTTGATTTGATTTGATTTGATTTGATTTGATTTGATTTGATTTGATTTGATTTGATTTGATTTGATTTGATTTGATTTGATTTGAAAAATAAACACGTAGAGTAGATAGTTATTTAACTGAAATAATAGATTTGGGAAATTTTAATTTTTTTTAAATTAATCATAAATTTTTCTGCAAAAAATGATGATAAAACAGTTTCTGTTGAACATTTGGCACAAAAACATTTCAAATTTCTGATTTGATTCTAATAACTATTTAGTCAACGTGTTTAATTTTTGTCAATGATGACAGGTATTGTTAATTTATATTCCAATTATCTCGAAAACCATTACTCGTAGCGGTTTTTACCAAGAGACCTTTTTCACGTAAAAAACGTCGTAAATGTATATTTTTTTACTCAGTAGTTTTATACAGGTACAGACGAAAAGTTATTGCTCTTCAAACCAGTTAAAAAATATGTAGGTGGCGCCCTCTACTAGTAGGAGTCATATTGACGTCAAAATCAAATTTCTCATGTCAAAAAACTCCCAGACACCAATTTTCATCCAAATATTGACGTTACTTCAGAAATTATTTGGAAAAAATCGAAATAAAAATGAAACTTCTACACCCTGTATCTCCGAAACTAAGCATTTTAGGACATACATTTATAGGAACTTTTTTACTTATTTTTATCTGCAGAATATGTTGCCGAAGTTTCCGGAATACAGTTTGGACCACCCTGTATATATTTTTATTTATTGTATAATACTATCATTTCATATTCTCTAACGAGTGGTTTTTGAAATATGACCATTTTTAGTTTGAGTTTTCTCAAAATTCTAAAATCAAAAATACAGGCTCACTCAAAACTACCTGTTGTATTTTTCTAAACTATTTCAAAGGGAACACCCTGTATTTTGTATCATAAACGAACAGAGGTTTGGTTGATTGTTATCCTTTTGTTTTATTAAGCATATGGTCCATCTAAAATCTATGTTTAGTGAGAAAATCTTGTTTTTTATGAAAATTATATCACAAAAATAATTTTTTTTCAGTAAAAACATTAATAAGTTTTTATGAAAATACTTAAAAGAATTATATTATAAGGTAGAAATCATGAATTTCATTTCAAAGGCCACTGTGATGTTGTTTTTTTCCTATCCTATGGTACTTTCTATAGTCGGTTTGTTTATAGCAACCGGAAATGGTACGACGTGATAACAAATACGCTAGGACTTTACAACTATCTACAAGACTTAAATTTCCATTTCCTCATGCTTTTGCTGTTGTTGTAAAAGAGTTATGTAGTGGAAATATGCAGCTTTTGAGGTAAGTGAAAGAATAAAAACAGAAGGAAAAAATTAATCGGCAAGCCCTCAACAAACTCGTAACCGTATACACCAATGTACACTGTTGCAGACATTCACACTCACACACAACAACCACACCTACACCAGTGTACTCCAGTGTAACTGCCTTCCAGCCTCATCAGTACAGGTAATCAGTACTGATGATGCTGGTACGTGTGTGAGTGTTTGTTAAGGGCTTGCCGATTAATTTTTTCCTTCTGTTTTTATATATTCCCCTCACTATTTCAATTTTTAAAAGAATAAAAAGATAAAAAATAAAAGAAAAAGGGAACAATAAAAAAAATAATAAAGAGAAAAAAAGAAAAAAGAAATACAAAAGATACTAATTAGCCATTTAAATCTGAAAATTCTTTTTGCAGTGAAGGTACAGCTGATATTATTCTAGATTGTTGCATGGATTATTGGGATGGAGCGGATTTATGTCCACTGAGTCATTCCGATAGGAAGAAGATTCAAGATTTTTACCAAAGGAGTAGTTTAACCGCATACTGTACAGCATTTGCCTATAGGTGAGAATAGCTTATTCAGTGAAAATAATGTACAGGGTTTGGTAGTTTAGTTTTTTCTCTCCTCCAATAAAGTTTTGAACTACCGACATTGTTGCAATGGCCAAAAATAAAAGCATAACTTTATAGACTTTCTAAATGACCTTATTCAGATATTGAGACAAAAACCAGTATAAAATGTGGTAAAACTATACCTATGTGGCGGATTCATCTTTCCAAAAAAATTCTTTATGGGTATTTCGCCACTGCACTGCAAGAAAATCTACAAAATAAAATAGCTATTTTTTGTAAACACTTCTGCGTTAAACCTAAACGGACGCTGCTTGTCAGAAGTTATATTTATAGAAATACAAATTTGCCTAACAAAGAAAAAAAATGCTTAACGTTTCGGAAAGTTTTGTACAGGGTTGTGTACAGGGACAGTAATGTACAGGGTGTTAATAACCTATTCTATTGTAGCATGCAAATTTAAATATCTTTAAATATCTCAAAAACTAAAGATTTTAAATATATTTAATCCAAGGAATCGAAAAATGAAATAAAATACCGGGTGTTCCATAAGAAAAAAATATAACTTTGGTATGGATCTTAGTTCTGAAACACCCTGTATATTTCAAAATAATTTTAAATTGTGCATAAAATATTTTGTTTCTACATCTTTCCGTTTTCGTATAATCAACCGAGGCGAATGATGTGCGCCACCCTGTATCATATTTTGACCAGGAGTGTATACAGACCGGACCACCGCCGGATAAAAAGCAGGCGAAAAAATGCGATAAAATAAAAATAGGTAGATATGTGATAAGAATGTTTCAGAATTTGTATTTATTCGTGTTTTAATAGCCAAAACGAATACATAGATTCTCGCGACAGTTCTTGTGTAAAATTTATTTTTTAAGTAAAATAATGGATGTTTACGAAGTTCGTGAGAAAATTCAAATTGTAAAATGGTATTTCCAAAATAGGTCTTATCGGGATATACAAACAATTTTTCCACAAACTTTTGTACACAGGCCAATTCCATCTTTACCTACTGTATCAAGAGTTATTAATAATTCTGAAACACATGCGGGTGCGTGTTCCCACAAAAACACAAAAAGCCTGACGTGTTGATTAATGACGAACAGGAGTTAAAGCAAGTGTTCATTTGTGCTACCGCGGATCAAAATCCCACGTTTTCGAGTAATCAAATTGCTGAGGTGGTTGTCCTGCCCACAATGCCCGTATTGTTCAAGAATATTTGAACAATTTTTTCCCAACCGTTTAATTAGTGGAAATGGAACTATTTTGTGGCCCGCTAGATCACCAGATCTTTCTCCCAATGATTTATTTTTGTGGGGTTATGTAAAATCCAAAGTGTATGGTCATAATAGGGCTAATAATCTGGATGAGCTTCAAGTAAAAATACGAGAGGCTTTCCAAACTATTAGCCCTAATATGTTAGTCAATGTCAGACGGGGATTTTACGACCGCCTAGGCTTCTGTCTAGCACAAGAAGATGGTCTTTTTGAACACTTGTTATAACTTTTTTTTTTTAGAGTAATATATTAGTTTTCTTTGGGTTTAGAGAATTTATTTATTTTTAGTTTTGGCTTGTAAACACACTCAAATAATAAATATTTAAGTAATTTTATTTTAAATGTTACCTTAAGTGAAGGTAAACACTTAAAATGAAAATAATAAATACTCGGCACACCTCGCGTCGTATTCCTAGTCTGTCACGACCGAACCGTCCAAGCACAACTGCAACTGCGTACTGCCTGACCAGCCGACTAGCCGGCAGTGAATCTCGAGTACGAACGCAAAACGGGTAAACGTAAATTCGTCCGGCAACTTGCTATGTTACTAGTAGCCTGGTCTTCTCTGTATAGGTCGTACTGTGCATCGCCTGTCCTTTTTTCTTTTTCCTTTTTTCTGATCGTTAATCTTATCTCTCTGTTTTTGATACCGTGAGAATTTCTGTTGTTTTATTAAATTTACTTGATATATAAGTCAAACAAACAGCTGGTTTGGCAAAGGTAATTTTTAACTTGTTAGTGTGTTTATTTGTTAATTAATTTTGTATCTGTGTTTTATTGTATATCTTTTGTTTGCTTTCATACATTTATATGATTTTTTTATTATTTATATCTAATTTTAAGGTCTGATGATGGCTGGAATTGCCGAAACCGGTCACGAATAAAGAGTTTTTTGATAGTGGTTTGGACTTTTTTTTTCCATTTTAACGTTAAGTTATTTATTTTTCATTATTTTGAAATTCAAAATTTTATGATATTTCAGACCTTTATCGAAATCTGTAAGCGACTCATTAAGCGAGGTCTATCTGGAACTACCCAGCGACAGCAGGCATCTTTATATGACCCATAGAAGTCCAACACCGGTTCACTGGGACTGCAAAAGTGTCCTGGACCCCAAAATCAGAAACACACAATTTTTTAGTACAGGTATAGTTTACCTAAATCCGTGTTTCTCATAGTATTATAATTCTATATTTCTAGATTCCTTGTTATACAACGACTACCCTGTAGGTAACAACATTTCCGATACGGAGAGTTGTTTTCAGATGCAGTGCAATCAGATTTTTATCGGTATGGTTACCATGCAATATCAGGCTCTCACAGATATGGTATTTATACCCAAGGACTGTATATATTCTAAAGGACTGTTCGATCGCGTCAAATCATGGTACAAAGAAAACAAGGTATGATCGATAGCGGCCCCAATTTCGTTAAGTTTGCGCATACCACCTGTGACGTCATACGCCATACAAAAAAATATCCATCTTGTGCAATTGCCACTAATAAAAAAAGACCTAAAATAGGGAAGAATTAGGACATAACCCTAAAAGTTATGTCAAATCATCGTGCTTGACATTTGAAAAATTATTCTGACATTTATTGTGTCATCTGTTTGACAATTTGAAATTGGCGCGCGGAACTTGCCGACCAATGGTGCCGTTTATCACCTGTGACGTAGTGACCAACCTGCGCAATATCATACCTTGTATTCTTTGTATCATGGCGTCAAATCGCCGCTGTCGTAGTGGTCGTGGATGCTTACGTCACGCAGGGACCAGCGCTCCACAGTGCGGCGGATGGTTATTCTAGCGGGACAAAATCTCAGGAGCTATGTTTGGGACTTAAAATCTAAGAACGTAGCAAATGGTCTAATATATAGCAACCATATGGTTAAATTTATTTATTTATTAATAAATAAATAAATACAAGATAATAAAACTATGATATTATTCGTACATGACACGCAAAACCGTACCAAATACATAAAATTATGATATCAGGTGAAATACTTACAAAAAACTCTTTAGCAGTTATTTTTTATTTACTTTGTAATCTTGTGACACCCTGTATATTTCATTTTAAAAAATTCTATTTTATTTTGAAAATAATAAATAAGATAGATATTTTAATTTTAACACTCGGTAATTGTAAATTCATATATAGTAAGTATCTAAGACAATTTTTTAAACTTTTATTAAAACTAGTAATATAATCATTTAGTTTTGTTATAAATTATCAGGAAGTACAAAAAGACTTTAGCATATTGTCATGCTTTATTTAACTAGAGGCGGATTCATCTATCCAAAAAAATCCTTTATGGGTTTTTCGCCACTGCACTGCAAGAAAAATCTACAAAATAAAATAGTTATTTTTGGTAAACACTTCTGCGTTAAACCTAAACGGACGCTGCTTGTCAGAAGTTGTGTTTACAGTTATAAAAATTTGCCTAACAAAGAAAAAAATGCTTAACGTTTCGGAAAGTTTCTCTTTCCGTCGTCGGAAGCAAAAAAAATATAAAGAATCAAGAAAAGAACTATTTAAAATATTTAAATTGAACTATTCGAGAACACTTTACTTTTTAAAACAGATACGTCTACAAGAAATCGTTGACGTTCTCTTAAAATGACATTATATTAAGTTAAACTTCAAAATTAACAATTACTACCTGATAACAATTACTTAATAAGGTAAAACCAAAAAGCCCAAACTTTCTGTATGATTATTTTTAAATTTTACGTATGTTATGTTTATTTATGTTATGTTCTTTAAAATCAAAGAAGCGATTGCCATACATTACTAACATCTACAGATGCATGAGCAATACATCCACCATATTTTATTGACAAAACATTAAACGAAATACAAACCCCAAATCATAGACACAATGATAACAATACACAATATATACAACTTACAATTCCATACATACGAGGCGTTTCGGAAAAAATAAGAAGGATAGGAAAACAATATAACATACGAACATCTTTCAAAACACAAAATACACTTAGATCCATTTTATCACATACTGAACCAATGAATACAGAACAACAAACAAAAAATGTAATATACCAAATACCCTGTGAATGCGAGAAATTTTACATTGGTGAAACATCTAGACCCTTAAATGTTAGAATTAAAGAACATAAAGATTATTTAAGAAAGGGAGATTTTCACAAATCTAAAATTTGTCAGCATTCATGGGACACAGGGCACAGAATAAATTTTAATAACGCCAAAATTATAATGAAAGAAGCGATAGCCTCTAAAAGAAAAATAAAAGGGGATTTTTTAATTCAATCTAATAAAAATAAAGGTATTGCTCACATGCATCTGTAGATGTTAGTAATGTATGGCAATCGCTTCTTTGATTTTAAAGAACATAACATAAATAAACATAACATACGTAAAATTTAAAAATAATCATACAGAAAGTTTGGGGCTTTTTGGTTTTACCTTATTAAGTAATTGTTATCAGGTAGTAATTGTTAATTTTGAAGTTTAACTTAATATAATGTCATTTTAACAGAACGTCAACGATTTTTTGTAGACGTATCTGTTTTAAAAAGTAAAGTATTCTCGAATGGTTCAATTTAAATATTTTAAATAGTTTTTTTCTTGATTCTTTATATTTTTTTTTGCTTCCGACGACGGAAAGAGAAAACTTTCCGATACGTTAAGCATTTAACAATTAAGCAAATTTTTATAACTGTAAACACAACTTCTGACAAGCAGCGTCCGTTTAGGTTTAACGCAGAAGTGTTTACCAAAAATAACTATTTTATTTTGTAGATTTTTCTTGCAGTGCAGTGGCGAAAAACCCATAAAGGATTTTTTTGGTTGGATGTTTTGTCTTGAGGAAAATTGCCGAACTGACTATTGGTGTCATTCATTAGCTGCCTATACACGGAAAGGCCCTGCCTTCGGCCTTGGCCTTGGGTCCGGGCCTTTAACCCAAAATACTATAGGTTTGCGTAAGATATATTTCCGCTATGGTAATTTGGGTGAAAGCCCCGGCCTCGAGACCAAGTCCGAAGGCCGGGCCTTTCCGTGTATGGGCAGCTATTAATTTTTTAAACTCAGTGCCTTTCGATGAAGTTAAGGTTTTAACAATTACAGCAGCATCCTTACTCCCACTAGCCCTAAAGCTCATAGTACTTGCAAAACCCAATTCTTCTTTTGAATGCTCTTCAATTAACCCTTTAACGAGTCTTTGTTTTGTTTTTATACTATCTGATTGAAATGAAACTTTTGGGCATTCACCTGATAAGCTTGAACTTCCTGTGACTGTGACTACCTGTGTTGGTAACTATTGGTAACTCAAAAGATCTACATTAGGTATTCAATATATCGATATTTGAAAAAAAGTGAAAGTTTGATATCTGCAGAACAAAGGCACGAAGGATTTTAACAAATAACATACGTACAGTAGAAAAGTACATACCTTTGGCAATCTTCAACATAGTTTGGCTTTGGAATAAAATGTATCTCTGCCTTGCTGAGCAGAAAACGACCAAATTTGGTTGATAAAAATGTATCGAAATACAAAGAATATTCATGCATTTTTATATCAATTGGAATGTCTACTATTTATTCTTATAAGTACACATTTTTGGCTTATTTCTAACCGAACGGTTTTGTCCCGCTAAATTTATCTTCCACCGCACTGTGCGCTCGTCCGTCAAACGCAAAAATAAATGTCAATGTCTAAAATCTTTAGGGCCAACTTCAACTCGGTCCCTAGATGATGTAAAAAAACTGACAGTGCAGGAAGATAGGAATCGAACTATCCTTATCTCTATAGTATCCTTGATTTATATGAAACTATTTTTTAAAATGACATTTTTAGTATTATTTCTCTTGCAGGTTCAACTTATAGAGCAATTAGAGAGGGCCTGTATAAGATTCGTGCATTTTAGCAAAGAAAATGAACTAAGATCGAGAGTTTTTAGTGAAAAAATGGGTTTGGAAAGTGGCTGGAACTGTCATATTTCTTTGCTAAGTGACAGAAATAGGTAAGTCTACTTTTAGGTATATTAGCATGTAATTTCTTTAATATATATACTACAGCAGTGTATTTGGTTTTTGATTTATATTTTTATTAAAACTATGTGGTTCAAACTTTGACGGTTTTTTGTTGTAACCTAACAGCATGATACTATATTAAGAATTTAGAATAGGACACAATAATTCTATCTGAAACAGAACCATTTATTATTATACATACCGGATGCGTCTCAAAAGTGGCTCACCCCTATAACTTTTTTATTTTTTCAGTTAAAACAACGATATTTGGTATGTTAGTATATGACATAAATTAGGGTTGATTGACGTATTCAATTTTTTTCGGTCACTTCCTGTTTTACCGGAAATTACTACAACTTTTGATTTTTAAATGGGACCCTCGGTCTTTTTTTACTTTATTCGAAAGAAAATAACACTCTGAATAGAATTACATATCATATGTCAACTTTTGACATTTTGGCATATGGTGTATTTGAAATTATAACTATAGCGGTTCGTAACGAAAATTTGACTCCCACACGTGTGTGGTATCAAATTATTCGCAAAAAAATGCTTTTCCCAAATATGCTAATGAGCCACCCTCGTTCCATTTGAAAAAAATTGAGATATGATTAAAAATACGATTTGAGCCTTTTCTAACTGGCCAGGACAAGGTACTAAAAACATTAGACGATCAATTCTTTTTTCCAAGGCTCCTTGATTAAGAATTAGTGTTTTTAACATAAGCGAAAATGTCAAAAGTTGACATATGATATGTCATTCTATTCAGAATGTCATGTTCTATCGACAAAAGTAAAAAAATACCCAAGGTGCCATTTAAAAATCAAAAGTTGTAGTCGTTTCCGGTGAAACAGGAAGTAACCAAAAACGATTGAATACGTCAATCAATCCTAATTTATGTCATATACTAACATACCAAATCTCGTTTTTTTATCTGAAGAAATAAAAAAGTTATAGGGGTGAGCCACTTTTGAGACGCACCCTGTATATCTGTTTACTTCATCATAGTTAAACATATATTGTGTTTTTTCTGGTGGTTAGATTCGAAAATTTGGTTGTTGGAGATTAATTTTTAAAAAGTCACTAACATATTTAGCTTTTAATGTAATTTAATGGAAATATATAGTGTGGTGACAATTTCGATGCTCAACATTGGCATCTCAGAAACCAGCAGAGATAGGAATTCGGTTAAATGGGACAAAAGTTGCGTAATTAGAAGTTTTGTTTTGGTTTGGTTAGGTAACTAGTTAACCGCTTTTCTTCACTTACGCACATACGCCAGAAAGAGAAACAAATCTAACAACTAACCTGTTTGTTTCACTTAATTTTAATGGCCAAGCCGTAAGGGGAATCCCCGCGTTCCGAGCGTCGACGCATCGGCCCGGAACGAAGCGGTTTTTTCTTGATTGAGATCGATTCGGTTACCCAGTAGTAACGTGTCGATCCCGCAGATCCCGCACGGTAAATCCCGCAAATTTGATCCCGCGAAATCTCAGAGGGATCCCGCATTTGCGGGATTGCATTCCCTATCTAGAAGGCTTAGAAATTTTCTGAAAACGGCATTTAACTGGCCGAGGTCAAAGTTATAAAACTACCAACTTACGTTGCCAGTCATAGATAAAAGAAAATAATCTACTATTAAGATAGATATGAAACTTAATAGTAATATATATATATATATATATATATATATATATATATATATATATATATATATATATATATATATATTTATATAGATATATATATATATATATATATTTTACAATTTATTTTTTTATTTATTTTACAGAGTTTCATGTAAATGATCATAAGTCGACTGGTTGTCTAATGAATAGACCGAGATTTATAGATTTTTTAGAAGCGAACGAAAAAAAAATCAAACAACGAATACATACCATATATTTTCTTTTATCTAAGATACATACCTTATCGTCTTTTGGAAACACGTACATTTTTGCAGTTTTATTAGTTTCTTTGCAAGATGCAACACAACAAGAAAACACCATTTTTACAGTTAATAAATAATAAAACTATTTCTGACTATGATATTTAAAATTTAGATAGATAGAAAATTAAAAAACAAACGAGTATTTGCAAATTCAATAAAAATCAGGCTTTTTTCACTGCAAAGGTATTTTTTGATTTATCAGCAGTCATTGTCAAGTTGGCAATATACAGGGTGTTTTCGAATTAGTCTAAAAAAAATATGGTGTGATTCCTCATGTGTTCTTAAAACAATTTTTATATAACCATTAGGTCTAAAGTACTTCCTTTCTGATCTACAGGATGTTAAAAATTAGAAAAAATCTATTTTTTTGCTTAACATAAATGGTACACCACTGCTTTTTTAAAGAAAATATATTTTTTTCTTGACTGGCCATCTTTTTTCAACAGAATTGATCTTTTAAGTTTTTCTTGTTCATCAATTAAGAGCCCGCCTTAATTCGTTTTCTAACGATTTTTTATTTTTTAGATTAATTAGGAGACCCCTGTATATGCATATCACAGGCAACCAAATAAACTAGTAAACTCTAAAAATTATTTTTCCTACCACTAGCGACATACCGTGTTTTTAGTGTGTACTAAATTATTTTATCAAAATTTCACCATATACGTTTCCAGGCAATGGTTGCAGTAGATACAATAGTTTTGAAGATACTGTCACTTAAAATAAACGTATTATTTTCATTTTTTCGACATAAATCCGAAACTAATCAAGATACCGGGGTTTTCTTCATAGGCGTGTGTTAAACTTCTAATTACGCAACTTTTGTCCCATTTAACCGACTGCGTATCTCTCGTAGTTTCTGAGATGCCAATGTTGAGCATCGAAATTGTCACCACCCTGTATACAGGGTGTATACAAGTATTTTAACTGGTGGTATAGTTCAACCCCAGAAACACGCCTATGAGGTTTATTTCGCGAAAAAAAATTATTCGATTTTTCAGCTATGGCTATGAAATGAAGATCGTTGTCATTTTATATGTAAATGTATATGGGAAATGTCATCGATATTTATTTCATAGCTATCGCTGACGCCGTTTTTATTCGATCATACGGTATAAATTATAGCTTTATATACAAAATTATATAAAGCTATAATTTCACCACCATAGTATAATAACCCCACACCCACACATATAATAATCTCACTATAATGTAGGATTTATACACATTAATATAATCTATGTATTCTTCTTCTATGTGCTCTAACCTATCATTCATTGAATAAAAAGATCCAAGGAAGGCATCAGACACAGTAAGGAGGAAAAGGATGTCATGATAGCTATAGGACACATTTTTTGCCAGTTTTGTTCGACTTTTCTCCCGATTAATGTTTTTTAATTTGTTGCAATTAACTATTTTTGTTTTCTATTGACATTTTGGTCTGCAGTAAGTACTTTACAATTTGACATTATTATATATTCTCTATTAATGTGATTTTTAAGTAAATCTGTACACTGATAAATAAATAGTCATATTACTTACATTAGGAGCTTTGAAAAGTTTTGGGTTACTTTTCTTTCTTCGCTTTTTTTTCATTGAAATATCCACTTCTACAGCCAGGTACAGAGCTATTTCTACTGTATAGTTTTTTTTTCACAACACTCATTGTTATACTCTAAAAATTCAACAAATTAACTATAATTTTTAGCGATGGGAACTATCGAATGAATTAGACTATCGAATGGTTAATGATTGAATGATTTCAACTATCGAATGGTTTTATTCGAATAAAATCATTCATTCATTTGTATACTAAAGCATATGTGACAACCTCGCCGTGCGACTAAATGGTTATCGTTGAGCCACGACTATCGAATGCTTTTGATAAATGAAATTTAGTATTCGTTTGATTTTTGTATGCGTCAGTGCATTATTAGTTCTTCCAAATGTTTATAACTTCGCCGTATAAATACTGTGCTATTTTTGCGTTTATTAAAATAGTTAAAATACTAAAATAGTAGTTATTTTTTAATTTTATTTATTGACGATTTTGTGCATGTGCAGGTGGTCAAAATTTTTCCGAAAATTTGTGTGGTTTTCCGTAGTCCGATCTTTCAATTATTTAATTTTATATGGTATATGGTCTATTTTTTAATGGAAAATTTTGAGAAGTAGCAATTTTTAAGAGAGATGAGATGAACTTACAATTAATTTTAAAAATACATATTTGTATTTTAGATGTTTTAATAATATGAATTAGTTGAACTTAATCATATTTAAATATGTGATTAAGTAAATGGTTATCGAACTCAAACTATGGGGTGAGAAAATTAAAATGAAAGTTTTACACGTGCCAATTAAAAAAAAGTTAACGATGTTTGTATTTTGTTTATGCTAACTCTCTTACATGTAGTTTTTTGCGAAGAAATATTTCATTGATTTTTTAAAGTAAATGCAGTAAAAGTAAATATAATTTTTAAATAGTAATATAAAGCACCTAATATAAATAATTTTGATTTCTAATTTTTCATTTCTATTTTCCTTCCATTACACTGCATGCTTAGAAAATTAATAAATGTTTATATTTCATGATTTTAAAATTTGTTGTTAATATAACAAATTAGTTCTGTAATTATTATTATTTAATAAACCAACGTTGCCACACACAAAAAATTTAGAGACTATATTATTTTTAAATAGGATCTAATATAAATTATTCTGACATCTAATTTGTTGTTTATATTTTGCTACTACTTAAAAAAAATATTTATATTAAATGATTTTAAATTTTGTTGTTAATTGGTATAACAAATTATTACTGTTATTATTATTTATTAAACCAATCTTTGCTTAAAAACATTACTAACTTTTCCTACATCCAAAATAACAAGTATTATTGCAGTGTAAGAACAGAATATTAATTAAAAAAATGCAGAATATATAGACATACTAACCCTAACTAACTAAAGCCAAACAATAATATTCTTTGCTAATATCAACTAATACCAAAATATGGCAACAGCGCCCTTCATAATGTATTTTCTGTGTAAATACTAGCACCTCAATAAAAAAAATAATGTGTCCTTATCTATATCTGACTCCGCAAAAAATCAAAGATGTCGCCTTCTTTCATAGCATTGCCACCGACCGCTGTCGGGCTTCTCGGAAAGAAACCTACGTCGCCGGGCGACAATTAAAATTCAGTTAATATTTTATTATAATCGATCCTGACGAATAAATGAATTTCATAAATGAATGAATTTTATAAATGAATGGTTTTTGCTGCCGAATTACTAGAATACAATATTTCAAGGCAGATGACGGATCTATTCGATAATTTTTATTCGAATAGTTTTCAACGAATGTTTTCTTACTAACTATCGAATTATTCGAATGAATTGCAACTATCGAATGTTTCGATAGTATTCATTCGATAGTTCCCACTACTAATAATTTTAGCAAAAACAAACTTGAACCGTATAATAACAATGAAAATATAGTCTCAGTATCGATCGCAGTGCCTCTACTGCCAAACCGAGGAACCTGCTTAAAAGTGGGGATAGAAATTTCAAATATGCCCATTGCCGATAAATCTCATTTTTTGAGCCCTCCATTTGGTGGCCCTATTAAAACCCCTTTACGCTCTTGCTAATTTTGTCGATATACTCCTTCCTTAGTCTTTCTATTCAATGCTGGTGTTCGATTGCCCCCTTCTAATGCCTAACTTCTGCACGTGCTCTATCCCTTTCTCTGCGACCCTGCGTGTGCCGTCCGATAGACCAGATAGTACCTCTCAACCAGTAATGTCGGATGGGGTGACAGAGCCCGTTAATAGGGGGCGCTCAACAGACGTGGATGGTTACGGCGTTGATGACAGATCATGTCTATTGGATAGGTATTGGACCAAGAACAATGCTCTCCGATTTCTTAATTTAATATACATTTACGTTGCCACATTTACGTTACTATCGAATTCTGTATTAGAAAAAGATTAAACGTTAAAATAGGTATTGTAAATATTTTACACAGTAGACTTTAAAAGTGCAAAAATTATAATGAAATGATAAGTACTTAACATAAAATAATATAATTTTCCATTATTAAACTTAATTTAATCTGCTAAAATACGAGCACCGAAATAATATCATAATAAGGCAGTGCTAATCAGACTTTTTAGTTCATGTGTTTTATCTGCCTTTAATAATATAATAATTACATTTAAATATATACCTCCTTGGATATTAATAATATACCATATGATCGAAAAAACGGCGTGAAAGATGATAATTTTGGCGAGGTCAATCTCTAGACGTTACTAAAAATTGACATAAAACTTAAAACTATTTATAGAAAAACTTAAAACTAATTATAAAATTAACAGTAATTATAGAAAGATTAAAGAGGGATAGAACATTTCTAGACCCACAAATCTATTTGTAAAAAATATTTTTTATCGAATTTTAATCTACACTATTTAAAAATCATTTTTTCTCAGTATAAAGATAAGTTACAACCATCTTAAGGCCAACTTGTAGTTAAGTATTCTTAAAAAATAAACATACGGTCAAATAAATGACGGCTAGAGCTTGACCTCAATAAAATCATCATCGACTATCATTCCTAGCCGTCTCTGACGCTTTTCGATCGTTAGTTCAGTCATTGGGGATTTTTGCTTGGAAAAAAGTCCGGAAGTTTGGCAACTATGCAGGTTTATAGGTTTTGGGGTCCCTAACTAAAATCCATAAAATGCACAATTCCAGGCTTGCCGCCGGCGCGGCGCCGCCATCTTACCAAGATGGCGCCCAAAATCGGTATTTTATGTATATCTCGAAAACTATGCGTTTTTCGCGAAAATTTGAGGAGAGCAAAATTAAAGAGAATAAAATTTACTATAAAAAAGGTTATATGAAAAAGTCAACCGTTTAGGCACAAAATCCCTGGAAATTTGACAATTTTGCGTAAAATATGATATATTATGTATAATTTTCCGAAATCAAATGTCGATTAGGGTTCACTAAAACTAGTTTTAGTTTAGTTTCTTCAATTTTGTCATAAAACAGTGGCGTATCATTAATTCGCTCATTAATTTATGAATAATTAATTTTAATTATTGAAAATGTGTACTTGTTTCCAAACCACCCAAGAGGTAAAGTACATGGGCGTTTATTTTAACGTGGTCTCCCCGGAGGCCTATTCCACTAGGTAAATTAAAAACTTTAACTTATCTGCACAAGCCCGACGGACCTGGCTCATTGATGTAAAGTCGATCGTATCTGCTGTGCTGGGCTCATCAGGGTGGTCTCTCAATACGTCCAACACTTCATCTTCAGCCGCCAGAGGGATATCTACAGGCAAGTCCAACTCCTCTTCATCGGATTCGTCGAGTGACACTTCAGTGACGTTGTCACAGGATTTCCCATTGCAGTATGCACAAATCATTGAACATTTTAATCCTGCTTTTCTGCATTCGCAGGCTTTACCATAGTTGTTGATTTTGCATTTACAGGATAAAAATGTCAATAGGGATTTTGGAGCTGGATCTTTCAACGTTGCGACTGGAGTAATGCCTGTTTTTGTTTTCTTCCAACCCCATTCTTCAGCATCTTTGGTACAACCAGACCAATGCTGAACCTGGTTCGCAATGAATGCTGTCCAGCACGACAATTTATTATTCATAAATTAATGAGACGCCGCTGTTTCATGACAAAATTGAAGAAACTCTAATCGACATTTGATTTCGGAAAATCGACTATATGTATGTCATACTTTACGCAAAATTGTAAAATTTCCAGGGATTTTGTGCCTAAACGGTTGACTTTAGCGAAAATTTTCATATAGCCTTTTTTATAGGAAATTTTATTCTCTTTAATTTTATTCTCTTCAAATTTTTACGAAAAACGCATAGTTTTCGAGGTATTTACAAAATACCGATTTCGGACGCGATCTTGGCAAGATGACGGCGCCGGCGGCAAGTCTGGAAATGTGCATTTTATGGATTTTAGTTAGGGACCCCAAAACCTATAAACCTGCAAAGTTTCAAAACTTCCGGACTTTTTTCCAAGCAGGCCCCTTTTTTGATCCCCAATGACTGAACTACGTATGGTATTTATTATATAACGAGTAAAAATCAGTAATCTTGTTGACAACGTAATTGTTATTAAAAACTTGTTAATTGGAGAGTCAGTTTACAGAGTAGTTCACATCTTATTGAAAGTAATATTACAAAATTTCATTCTATTCAAATAGGTTTTTCATCAAAGATTGGCTTAATAAAAAAATATAAACGCTTTTTAGTATCTAAATAAGAAAGTTGTTTTTTAAACGTCATATAATATATTATTTTGCCAAAAAAAAAATCAAAAAATTAGTTTAGTTGAGTTATATCCGAAATTACTTATCAGCATTACTAGTAAAATATAGATGTAGAATTATCCTAAAACTCTGTTCTTTTTGGATTATAATCTAGTGTTATAAACTAAACAATATTACATTATTAAAAAATTTGATTGATATAAGCTCTTCAATTATTGTATATAAATTATAAAACATTCGTCTATACCTCTAATGTAATTTTGTTGAGGTTATAATTTATTAGTATCCAGTATTGACTTTTTTATTACTGTCTGTTTTTTTTTCTGCTTTGTTTTTAGTATTTTTTGTTGTTTGTTGTTTTAGAGTATAACTTAATATACAGGGTGTTCATGTGGATTAGGCCTATTGGAAATGGGGGGATCACTAAAAAAAAACGCGCCGGGCACTTTACTTCAAGGCAGCTCCCTGAGAGATAAGGCGGTTAAACTTGATTTTCTACCAGTCAATAAAAATTTAGTCCGTTATTGCGGTCATAATGCAAATTGCGTTCTTCCATTATGTCTATAACAAGTACAGTTAACCCCGGATATATTGAACACGTACATTATATCAAACTTTAATTTTCGTAAAATTCGATACTTTGGGTCGCACGAAAAAAAAACATACAACGTTTTTTATAGAGTTCTTCTTTAATTTTGGTCTCTACATATTTTGCACTAAAGTTGATAGAAATTGAGTTATTGACAAATAATGAAAAATAAACCGAATTTTAGCCAGTTTTTCCAAGATGGCGGCTAAATCCGGGCTTTACGGGGAGTGCAAATTTAATACGTGCTTCTCGACACCAAACTAAACAAAATAAAACTTATTCCAGCTTGTCCGGATTTGCCTCCCGCCATGGATGCACTTGCCTACCTGAAATACACTGACTTTTATTTTTTAAGCAAATACACTGACTTTTATTTTTTAAGCAAAAACTATGCATCGGACGAAAAAAATAAAAGATTTTAAAAAAAGAATTTATTTTAAGAGATTTTTTTTTTGGTGTACCACTTTTGTCTCCAAAAATATTCAATGTAAAACCTGTATGGACGGTACTGGTTGAAATCAATAAAATTCTTTTTACACCAAATTTTTGATGCATAGAAGACGTGTATCGAGTTTTATAAAGATATCTGTAATTAAGTCAGAATTATTATTAAAAAAAATTTTTTTTTAGAAAAATTTACCACCCTGTATCTCAGGACTTAAGATGTTTAGGACATACATATGAAGTTTTTCTCTTAGAATAGGTCACGCCTTTAAATATTAGCATGGCATTAAGGAGCACCCTGTATATGCTTAGTGAGTAGAACATTTTTTGATTTAGGTATACCGGGTGCGCCTCAAAAGTGGCTCACCCCCTATAACTTTTTTATTTTTTCAGATAAAACAACGAGATTTAGTATGTTAGTATGTGACATAAATTAGGATTGATTGACATATTAAATTGTTTTTGGTCACTTCCGGTTTCACCGGAAATGACTACAACTTTTGATTTTTAAATGGCACCCTCGGTATTTTTTTACTTTGTTCGATAGAAAATGACACTCTGAATAGAATGACATATGTCAACTTTTGACATTTTCGCATATGGTTTATTTCAAATTATAAAATGCGGTTCATAACGAAAATTTAACTCGAAATGCCAAGTGTGTGGTATCAAAATATTCGTAAAAAAATGCCTTTTCCAAATATGCTAATGAGCCACCCTCGTTTCATTTAAAAAAATTGAGATATGATGAAAAATACGATTTGGGCATCTTTTAACCTGCCAGGATAAGATACTAAAAACATTAGACGATCAAATCTATTTTTCCAAGGCTCCTTCATTAAAAATTAGTGTTTTTAACACAGCCATGGCACTCTAGAGTATGTCAAAAGTTGACATGTGACATACCATTCGATTCGCAGTGTCATTTTCTATCGAATAAAGTAAAAAAATACCGAGGGTGCCATTTAAAAATCAAAAGTTGTAGTAATTTCCGGTGAAACAGGAAGTGAGCGAAAACAATTGAATACGCCAATCAATCATAATTTATGTCATATACTAACATACCAATTCTCGTTTTTTTATCTGAAAAAAATAAAAAAGTTATAGGGGTGAGCCACTTTTGAGAAACACCCGGTATAGATAAAGAGACCAACATAAAATAATAAGAAAAAACAGGTATATATTAAAAGATAAAGTAACAAGTTATCGTATCATCCATATATTTTTAATAAAAAAAAGGAATGTACAGTGATGCATATAATTTAACTATATTTCTTAGATCTCTGGTAAAACATTAAAAACTAAACTAAAATTAAGTCTATATATATCACTTGCATACTGAAAGTTTCAGAGATCTTTTTAAAGAAAAATGACTAGAATAAACATTTAATTTCTAGGTAAGTATACATTTATTATCCATAGCTAAACAATAGAAATACTAGAGCACCGAGAAGTAAACTATTAAGAGAGTTAACTTTGCTGGAAGAGCTACCATCTTCTGGAAATGGAAATTTTGTCGGTCCTATAGGGACAATTGTTGAGGGGGTCTGTGTAGTAGATGGTTGTTTTGTTGAGGATACAGTTGAAAACTGCGTTGTTATGTTAGTAGTGGATTGTGTTGTTGAGCTTTCTATCGAAGATGGTTGTGTTGTTAATTTTCTGCCAGGAGTTGTAGTCTCTACAGGCGTTGTATTATTAGAAGTTTCCGTGGTACTTTCTGTACTCGCTGTAGTACTGTTTGGTCTGCTTGTTGTTATTGTATTTGTACCTGTACTTGTGGATACTTCTAAAGTCGATGATATTGGTTGAGGGCTAGTCGTTGATTTTTCGGAAGTTATATCAATTGGTGTGGAAGTTGTGACCGTAGAACTCGTTAGCTCTCTTTGTGAAGAAGTTACTTGAGATGTCGGACTAGTTTCAACATTTTTCGATGTAGTTACTTCGGTTGTGGAACTCTGTTTGACCGTGGACATTATTTTAGTTGTTAGTATCGTTGTATCAATTGTAGACGTCTTTATTTTAGTTGAAGGGGTAGTTGATGTGGTAGTTTCAGGGGTAATTGTTGTTTTATCGGAAGTTATATCAATTGGTATGGAAGTTGTGATATTAGAAGTCATTAGCTCTCTTGGTGAAGAAGTTATTTCAGACGTCGGACCAGTTTCAACATTTTTAGACGTTGTTACTTCCGTTGTGGAACTCATGGACATTTTAGTTGTAGGACTTTGGTCAACTGTTGATATTGTTGTCTGAATTGTAGACGTCCCTATTTTAGATGTTGATGTCTCGTCAGGTGTAGCAGTTTCTTTTTTAGATATCATATTCTCGTCAAATATGTCTGGTGTCATTATTTCAAATGTGGATGTTTTTTCCTGAGTGAAGATTGTCGTTTCAGATGTGATTTCCATCTGGGAAGCGGTCATAACAGAGAGTGTGTGGTCAGGCATAGAGTCATCTTCAGCTGTGGACGCTTCTGTTGTAATTGTCGAGCTCTCTTCATATGTTGTCGTCTGACCGTCAATTTTTGGGCTCACTTCAGGTGTGGACGTCTCAGTTTCGATTGAAGAGACATCTTCACATGTAGACATTTCTGTTTGAATTGTTGAACTTTCTTCAGGTACAGACGTTGTTGATCTTGTGGTTTTAGTTTCAATTGTCGAGATCTGTTTTAGTGTGGTCGTTTTAGTTTCAACTGTCGAGATATCTTCAGTGTCGGACGTCTCCGTTTCAGTAGGGTTGTCTTCAGGGGTAGACGTTTCAGCTTCATTTGTTGAGCTTACTTCAGTTGTGGTCGTCATAGTTTCAACTGACGAGATCTCTTCATTAGCGGCTGTCTCCGTTTTATTAGGACTGTCTTCAGGTATAGACGTTTCAGCTTTATTTGTTGAGCTTACTTCAATTGTGGTCGTCTTAGATTCAACTGTTGAGATCTCTTCAGTAGCGATGGTCTCCGTTTCAGTAGGGGTTTCTTCAGGTGTAGGCGTTTCAGCTTCATTTGTCGAGCTTACTTCAGTTGTGGTTGTCTTAGTTTCAACTGTCGAGATCTCTTCGGTGGCGGATGTCTCCGTAGTAGGATTGTCTTCAGGTGTAGACGTTTCAGCTTCATTTGTTGAGCTTACTTCAATTGTGGTCGTCTTAGATTCAACTGTTGAGATCTCTTCAGTGGCGGATGTCTCCGTTCACTAGGGTTGTCTTCAGGTGTAGACGTTTCATCTTCATTTGTTGAGCTTACTTCAGTTGTGGTCGTTTTAGTTTCAACTGTCGAGATCTCTTCAGTAGCGATTGTCTCCGTTTCAGTAGGGATGTCTTCAGGTGTAGACGTTTCAGCTTCATTTGTCGAGCTTACTTCAGTTGTGGTTGTCTTAGTTCCAACTGTCGAGATCTCTTCGGGGGCGGATGTCTCCGTAGTAGGATTGTCTTCAGGTGTAGACGTTTCAGCTTCATTTGTTGAGCTTAATTCAGTTGTGGTCGTCTTAGATTCAACTGTTGAGATCTCTTCAGTAGCGATGGTCTCCGTTTCAGTAGGGTTTTCTTCAGGTGTAGGCGTTTCAGCTTCATTTGTCGAGCTTACTTCAGTTGTGGTTGTCTTAGTTCCAACTGTCGAGATCTCTTCAGTGGCGGATGTCTCCGTTTCACTAGGGTTGTCTTCAGGTGTAGACGTTTCATCTTCATTTGATGAGCTTACTTCAGTTGTGGTCGTTTTAGTTTCAACTGTCGAGATCTCTTCAGTAGCGATTGTCTCCGTTTCAGTAGGGATGTCTTCAGGTGTAGACGTTTCAGCTTCATTTGTCGAGCTTACTTCAGTTGTGGTTGTCTTAGTTCCAACTGTCGAGATCTCTTCGGTGGCGGATGTCTCCGTAGTAGGATTGTCTTCAGGTGTAGACGTTTCAGCTTCATTTGTTGAGCTTACTTCAATTGTGGTCGTCTTAGATTCAACTGTTGAGATCTCTTCAGTAGCGATGGTCTCCGTTTCAGTAGGGTTTTCTTCAGGTGTAGGCGTTTCAGCTTCATTTGTCGAGCTTACTTCAGTTGTGGTTGTCTTAGTTCCAACTGTCGAGATCTCTTCGGTGGCGGATGTCTCCGTTTCAGTAGGGTTGTCATCAGGTGTAGACGTTTCAGCTGCATTTGTTGAGCTTACTTCAGTTGTGGTTGTCTTAGTTTCAACTGTCGAGATCTCTTCAGTGGCGGATGTCTCCGTTTCACTAGGGTTGTCTTCAGGTGTAGACGTTTCATCTTCATTTGTTGAGCTTACTTCAGTTGTGGTCGTTTTAGTTTCAACTGTCGAGATCTCTTCAGTAGCGATTGTCTCCGTTTCAGTAGGGATGTCTTCAGGTGTAGACGTTTCAGCTTCATTTGTTAAGCTTACTTCAGTTGTGGTTGTCTTAGTTTCAACTGTCGAGATCTCTTCGGTGGCGGATGTCTCCGTTTCAGTAGGGTTGTCTTCAGGTGTAGACGTTTCAGCTGCATTTGTTGAGCTTACTTCAATTGTGGTCGTCTTAGATTCAACTGTTGAGATCTCTTCAGTAGCGATGGTCTCTGTTTCAGTAGGGTTTTCTTCAGGTGTAGGCGTTTCAGCTTCATTTGTCGAGCTTACTTCAGTTGTGGTTGTCTTAGTTCCAACTGTCGAGATCTCTTCGGTGGCGGATGTCTCCGTTTCAGTAGGGTTGTCTTCAGGTGTAGACGTTTCAGCTTCATTTGTTGAGCTTACTTTTGTGGTTGTCTTAGTTTCAACTGTCGAGATCTCTTCAGTGGCGGATGTCTCCGTTTCACTAGGGTTGTCTTCAGGTGTAGACGTTTCATCTTCATTTGTTGAGCTTACTTCAGTTGTGGTCGTTTTAGTTTCAACTGTCGAGATCTCTTCAGTAGCGATTGTCTCCGTTTCAGTAGGGATGTCTTCAGGTGTAGACGTTTCAGCTTCATTTGTCGAGCTTACTTCAGTTGTGGTTGTCTTAGTTCCAACTGTCGAGATCTCTTCGGTGGCGGATGTCTCCGTTTCAGTAGGGTTGTCTTCAGGTGTAGACGTTTCAGCTGCATTTGTTGAGCTTACTTCAATTGTGGTCGTTTTAGTTTCAACTGTCGAGATCTCTTCAGTAGCGATTGTCTCCGTTTCAGTAGGGATGTCTTCAGGTGTAGACGTTTCAGCTTCATTTGTCGAGCTTACTTCAGTTGTGGTTGTCTTAGTTCCAACTGTCGAGATCTCTTCGGTGGCGGATGTCTCCGTTTCACTAGGGTTGTCTTCAGGTGTAGACGTTTCATCTTCATTTGATGAGCTTACTTCAGTTGTGGTCGTTTTAGTTTCAACTGTCGAGATCTCTTCAGTAGCGATGTCTCCGTTTCAGTAGGGTTGTCTTCAGGTGTAGACGTTTCAGCTTCATTTGTCGAGCTTACTTCAGTTGTGGTTGTCTTAGTTCCAACTGTCGAGATCTCTTCGGTGGCGGATGTCTCCGTTTCAGTAGGGTTGTCTTCAGGTGTAGACGTTTCAGCTTCATTTGTCGAGCTTACTTCAGTTGTGGTTGTCATAGTTTCAACTGTCGAGATCTCTTCGGTGGCGGATGTCTCCGTTTCAGTAGGGTTGTCTTCAGGTGTAGACGTTTCAGCTTCATTTGTTAAGCTTACTTCAGTTGTGGTTGTCTTAGTTTCAACTGTCGAGATCTCTTCAGTAGCGATTGTCTCCGTTTCAGTAGGGTTGTCTTCAGGTGTAGACGTTTCAGCTGCATTTGTTGAGCTTAATTCAGTTGTGGTTGTCTTAGTTTCAACTGTCGAGATCTCTTCAGTAGCGATTGTCTCCGTTTCAGTAGGGTTGTCTTCAGGTGTAGACGTTTCAGCTTCATTTGTCGAGCTTACTTCAGTTGTGGTTGTCTTAGTTTCAACTGTCGAGATCTCTTCGGTGGCGGATGTCTCCGTTTCAGTAGGGTTGTCTTCAGGTGTAGACGTTTCAGCTTCATTTGTTAAGCTTACTTCAGTTGTGGTTGTCTTAGTTTCAACTGTCGAGATCTCTTCAGTAGCGATTGTCTCCGTTTCAGTAGGGTTGTCTTCAGGTGTAGACGTTTCAGCTGCATTTGTTGAGCTTAATTCAGTTGTGGTTGTCTTAGTTTCAACTGTCGAGATCTCTTCAGTAGCGATTGTCTCCGTTTCAGTAGGGTTGTCTTCAGGTGTAGACGTTTCAGCTGCATTTGTTGAGCTTACTTCAGTTGTGGTCGTTTTAGTTTCAACTGTCGAGATCTCTTCAGTAGCGATTGTCTCCGTTTCAGTAGGGTTGTCTTCAGGTGTAGACGTTTCAGCTTCATTTGTTAAGCTTACTTCAGTTGTGGTTGTCTTAGTTTCAACTGTCGAGATCTCTTCGGTGGCGGATGTCTCCGTTTCAGTAGGGTTGTCTTCAGGTGTAGACGTTTCAGCTGCATTTGTTGAGCTTACTTCAATTGTGGTCGTTTTAGTTTCAACTGTCGAGATCTCTTCAGTAGCGATTGTCTCCGTTTCAGTAGGGATGTCTTCAGGTGTAGACGTTTCAGCTTCATTTGTCGAGCTTACTTCAGTTGTGGTTGTCTTAGTTTCAACTGTCGAGATCTCTTCGGTGGCGGATGTCTCCGTTTCAGTAGGATTGTCTTCAGGTGTAGACGTTTCAGCTTCATTTGTCGAGCTTACTTCAGTTGTGGTTGTCTTAGTTTCAACTGTCGAGATCTCTTCAGTGGCGGATGTCTCCGTTTCACTAGGATTGTCTTCAGGTGTAGACGTTTCAGCTTCATTTGTTAAGCTTACTTCAGTTGTGGTTGTCTTAGTTTCAACTGTCGAGATCTCTTCGGTGGCGGATGTCTCCGTTTCAGTAGGGTTGTCTTCAGGTGTAGACGTTTCAGCTTCATTTGTTGAGCTTACTTCAGAGATCTCTTCAGTAGCGATGGTCTCCGTTTCAGTAGGGTTGTCTTCAGGTGTAGACGTTTCATCTTCATTTGATGAGCTTACTTCAGTTGTGGTTGTCTTAGTTTCAACTGTCGAGATCTCTTCGGTGGCGGATGTCTCCGTTTCAGTAGGGTTGTCTTCAGGTGTAGACGTTTCAGCTTCATTTGTTAAGCTTACTTCAGTTGTGGTTGTCTTAGTTTCAACTGTCGAGATCTCTTCGGTGGCGGATGTCTCCGTTTCAGTAGGGTTGTCTTCAGGTGTAGACGTTTCAGCTGCATTTGTTGAGCTTACTTCAATTGTGGTCGTTTTAGTTTCAACTGTCGAGATCTCTTCAGTAGCGATTGTCTCCGTTTCAGTAGGGATGTCTTCAGGTGTAGACGTTTCAGCTTCATTTGTCGAGCTTACTTCAGTTGTGGTTGTCTTAGTTTCAACTGTCGAGATCTCTTCGGGGGCGGATGTCTCCGTAGTAGGATTGTCTTCAGGTGTAGACGTTTCAGCTTCATTTGTTGAGCTTAATTCAGTTGTGGTTGTCTTAGTTTCAACTGTCGAGATCTCTTCAGTGGCGGATGTCTCCGTTTCACTAGGGTTGTCTTCAGGTGTAGACGTTTCAGCTTCATTTGTTGAGCTTAATTCAGTTGTGGTTGTCTTAGTTTCAACTGTCGAGATCTCTTCAGTAGCGATTGTCTCCGTTTCAGTAGGGTTGTCTTCAGGTGTAGACGTTTCAGCTTCATTTGTTAAGCTTACTTCAGTTGTGGTTGTCTTAGTTTCAACTGTCGAGATCTCTTCAGTAGCGATTGTCTCCGTTTCAGTAGGGTTGTCTTCAGGTGTAGACGTTTCAGCTGCATTTGTTGAGCTTAATTCAGTTGTGGTTGTCTTAGTTTCAACTGTCGAGATCTCTTCAGTAGCGATTGTCTCCGTTTCAGTAGGGTTGTCTTCAGGTGTAGACGTTTCAGCTTCATTTGTCGAGCTTACTTCAGTTGTGGTTGTCTTAGTTTCAACTGTCGAGATCTCTTCAGTAGCGATTGTCTCCGTTTCAGTAGGGGTTGTCTTCAGGTGTAGACGTTTCAGCTGCATTTGTTGAGCTTAATTCAGTTGTGGTTGTCTTAGTTTCAACTGTCGAGATCTCTTCAGTAGCGATTGTCTCCGTTTCAGTAGGGTTGTCTTCAGGTGTAGACGTTTCAGCTGCATTTGTTGAGCTTATTTCAGTTGTGGTCGTTTTAGTTTCAACTGTCGAGATCTCTTCAGTAGCGATTGTCTCCGTTTCAGTAGGGATGTTTTCAGGTGTAGACGTTTCAGCTTCATTTGTCGAGCTTACTTCAGTTGTGGTTGTCTTAGTTCCAACTGTCGAGATCTCTTCGGTGGCGGATGTCTCCGTTTCAGTAGGGTTGTCTTCAGGTGTAGACGTTTCAGCTGCATTTGTTGAGCTTACTTCAGTTGTGGTTGTTTTAGTTTCAACTGTCGAGATCTCTTCAGTGGCGATTGTCTCCGTTTCAGTAGGGTTGTCTTCAGGTGTAGACGTTTCAGCTTCATTTGTTGAGCTTAATTCAGTTGTGGTTGTCTTAGTTTCAACTGTCGAGATCTCTTCAGTGGCGGATGTCTCCGTTTCACTAGGGTTGTCTTCGGGTGTAGACGTTTCAGCTTCATTTGTTGAGCTTACTTCAGTTGTGGTTGTCTTAGTTTCAACTGTCGAGATCTCTTCAGTGGCGGATGTCTCCGTTTCACTAGGGTTGTCTTCAGGTGTAGACGTTTCAGCTTCATTTGTTGAGCTTAATTCAGTTGTGGTTGTCTTAGTTTCAACTGTCGAGATCTCTTCAGTGGCGGATGTCTCCGTTTCACTAGGGTTGTCTTCAGGTGTAGACGTTTCAGCTTCATTTGTTGAGCTTACTTCAGTTGTGGTTGTCTTAGTTTCAACTGTCGAGATCTCTTCAGTGGCGATTGTCTCCGTTTCAGTAGGGTTGTCTTCAGGTGTAGACGTTTCAGCTTCATTTGTTGAGCTTAATTCAGTTGTGGTTGTCTTAGTTTCAACTGTCGAGATCTCTTCAGTGGCGGATGTCTCCGTTTCAGTAGGGTTGTCTTCAGGTGTAGACGTTTCAGCTGCATTTGTTGAGCTTAATTCAGTTGTGGTTGTCTTAGTTTCAACTGTCGTCGATCTCTTCAGTGGCGGATGTCTCCGTTTCAGTAGGGTTGTCTTCAGGTGTAGACGTTTCAGCTTCCATTGTTGAGCTTACTTCAGTTGTGGTCGTTTTAGTTTCAACTGTCGAGATCTCTTCAGTAGCGATTGTCTCCGTTTCAAGTAGGGATGTCTTCAGGTGTAGACGTTTCAGCTTCATTTGTCGAGCTTACTTCAGTTGTGGTTGTCTTAGTTTCAACTGTCGAGATCTCTTCAGTGGCGGATGTCTCCGTTTCACTAGGATTGTCTTCAGGTGTAGACGTTTCAGCTTCATTTGTTGAGCTTACTTCAATTGTGGTTGTCTTAGTTTCAACTGTCGAGATCTCTTCAGTGGCGATGTGTCTCCGTTTCAGTAGGGATGTCTTCAGGTGTAGACGTTTCAGCTTCATTTGTCGAGCTTACTTCAGTTGTGGTTGTCTTAGTTTCAACTGTCGACATCTCTTCAGTGGCGGATGTCTCCGTTTCACTAGGATTGTCTTCAGGTGTAGACGTTTCAGCTTCATTTGTCGAGCTTACTTCAGTTGTGGTTGTCTTAGTTTCAACTGTCGAGATCTCTTCAGTGGCGGATGTCTCCGTTTCACTAGGGTTGTCTTCAGGTGTAGACGTTTCAGCTTCATTTGTCGAGCTTACTTCAGTTGTGGTTGTCTTAGTTTCAACTGTCGAGATCTCTTCGGTGGCGGATGTCTCCGTTTCACTAGGGTTGTCTTCAGGTGTAGACGTTTCAGCTTCATTTGTTGAGCTTACTTCAGTTGTGGTTGTCTTAGTTTCAACTGTCGAGATCTCTTCGGTGGCGGATGTCTCCGTTTCAGTAGGGTTGTCTTCAGGTGTAGACGTTTCAGCTTCATTTGTCGAGCTTACTTCAGTTGTGGTTGTCTTAGTTTCAACTGTTGAGATCTCTTCAGTGGCGATGTCTCCGTTTCAGTAGGGGTTGTCTTCAGGTGTAGACGTTTCAGCTTCATTTGTCGAGCTTACTTCAGTTGTGGTTGTCTTAGTTCCAACTGTCGAGATCTCTTCGGTGGCGGATGTCTCCGTTTCAAGTAGGGTTGTCTTCAGGTGTAGACGTTTCAGCTGCATTTGTTGAGCTTACTTCAATTGTGGTCAGTTTTAGTTCCAACTGTCGAGCTTACTTCAGTTGTGGTTGTTTTAGTTTCAACTGTCGAGATCTCTTCGGTGGCGGATGTCTCCGTTTCAGTAGGGTTGTCTTCAGGTGTAGACGTTTCAGCTTCATTTGTCGAGCTTACTTCAGTTGTGGTTGTCTTAGTTTCAACTGTCGAGATCTCTTCGGTGGCGGATGTCTCCGTTTCAGTAGGGTTGTCTTCAGGTGTAGACGTTTCAGCTTCATTTGTCGAGCTTACTTCAGTTGTGGTTGTCTTAGTTCCAACTGTCGAGATCTCTTCGGTGGCGGATGTCTCCGTTTCAGTAGGGTTGTCTTCAGGTGTAGACGTTTCAGCTTCATTTGTTGAGCTTACTTCAGTTGTGGTTGTCTTAGTTTCAACTCTCGAGGTCTCTTCAGTGGCGGATGCCTCCGTTTCACTAGGGTTGTCTTCAGCTGTAGACGTTTCAGCTTCATTTGTCGAGCTTACTTCAGTTGTGGTTGTTTTAGTTTCAACTGTCGAGATCTCTTCAGTGGCGGATGTCTCCGTTTCACTAGGGTTGTCTTCAGGTGTAGACGTTTCAGCTTCATTTGTTGAGCTTAATTCAGTTGTGGTTGTCTTAGTTTGAACTGTCGAGATCTCTTCAGTGGCGGATGTCTCCGTTTCGCTAGGGTTGTCTTCAGGTGTAGACGTTTCAGCTTCATTTGTCGAGCTTACTTCAGTTGTGGTTGTCTTAGTTTGAACTGTCGAGATCTCTTCAGTGGCGGATGTCTCCGTTTCGCTAGGGTTGTCTTCAGGTGTAGACGTTTCAGCTTCATTTGTCGAGCTTACTTCAGTTGTGGTTGTCTTAGTTTGAACTGTCGAGATCTCTTCAGTGGCGGATGTCTCCGTTTCACTAGGGTTGTCTTCAGGTGTAGACGTTTTAGCTTCATTTGTCGAGCTTACATCAGTTGTGGTTGTCTTAGTTTCAACTGTCGAGATCTCTTCAGTGGCAGATGTCTCCGTTTCACTAGGGTTGTTTTCAGGTGTAGACATTTCAGCTTCATTTGTCGAGCTTACTTCAGTTGTGGTTGTCTTAGTTTCAACTGTCGAGATTTCTTCTGCGGCGGCTGTCTCTGTTTCAGTAGGGTTGTCTTCAGGTGTAGACGTTTCAGCTTCATTTATCGATCTTACTTCAGTTGTGGTTGTCTTAGTTTCAACTGTCGAGATCTCTTCAGTGGCGGATGTCTCCATTTCACTAGGGTTGTTTTCAAGTGTAGACGTTTCAGCTTTATTTGTCGAGCTTACTTCAGTTGTGGTTGTCTTAGTTTCAACTGTCGAGATCTCTTCGGTGGTGGATGTCTCCGTAGTAGGATTGTCTTCAGGTGTAGATGTTTCAGCTTCATTTGTCGAGCTTACTTCAGTTGTGGTTGTCTTAGTTTCAACTGTCGAGATTTCTTCTGCGGCGGCTGTCTCTGTTTCAGTAGGGGTTTCTTCAGGTGTAGACGTTTCAGGTGTAGACGTTTCAGCTTCTTTTATCGATCTTACTTCAGTTGTGGTTGTCTTAGTTTCAACTGTCGAGATCTCTTCGGTGGTGGATGTCTCCGTAGTAGGATTGTCTTCAGGTGTAGATGTTTCAGCTTCATTTATCGATCTTACTTCAGTTGTGGTTGTCTTAGTTTCAACTGTCGAGATCTCTTCAGTGGCGGATGTCTCCATTTCACTAGGGTTGTTTTCAAGTGTAGACGTTTCTGCTTCATTTGTCGAGCTTACTTCAGTTGTGGTTGTCTTAGTTTCAACTGTCGAGATCTCTTCGGTGGCGGATGTCTCCGTTGTAGGATTGTCTTCAGGTGTATATGTTTCAGCTTCATTTGTTGAGCTTACTTCAGTTGTGGATGTCTTAGTTTCAATTATCGAGATCTCTTCATTAGCGGACGTCTCCGTTTCAGCTTCATTTGTTGAGCTTACTTCAATTGTAGTCGTCTTAGTTTGAACTGTCGAGATTCCTTCAGTGGCGGACGTCACCGTTTCAGCAGAGTTGTCTTCACGTGTAGACGTTTCAGCTTTATTTGTTTGTTTGTTTACTTCAATTGTGGTCGTCATAGATTCAAATGTCGAGATCTCTTCAGTAGCGATTGTCTCCGTTTCAATAAGGTTGTCTTCAGGTGTAGACGTTTCAGCTTCATTTGTTGAGCTTACTTCAGTTGTGGTTGTCTTAGTTTCAACTGTCGAGATCTCTTCAGTAGCGATTGTCTCCGTTTCAGTAGGGTTGTCTTCAGGTGTAGACGTTTCAGCTTCATTTGTCGAGCTTACTTCAGTTGTGATCGTCTTAATTTCAACTATCGAGTTCTCTTCAGGGTCGGATGTCTCCGTTTCACTTGTTGACACTTCAGTTTCAGCTGTTGAGTTCTCATCCATTTTTGACGTTTCAGTTTCAACTTTCGACTCATCTTCTGGTGTTGACGTATCTTCTGGTGTTGACGTCTGAGTTTCAGATATACTTTCTTGAGGTACAGACGTTTCAGATTCAATTTCTGAATTCTCGTCAGCTTTTGGGGTTTCGGTTTCAATTGTCGATTCATTTTCAGGTGTGGGCGTCTCAACTGTTGAAGCCTCATCAGGTGTAGACGTTTTAGTTTCACTTATTGAACTCTTCTCAACTTTTGATGTTTCAGTTTCATTTGCCGATACATCTTCAGGTGCGGACGTCTCCGTTTTAATTTTCGAGTTTTTGTCAATTTTAATTATTGAACTATCTTCAGTTATAGGCGTTTCGTGTTCAAATGTCGGTTCATCTTCAGGTGTGGATGTTTCAGTTTCAATCAATAAACTCTCATTAGGTGTCAACGTCTCAGTTTCAATTGTTGTGTTTTCATCAAGTGTAGACGATTCAGCTTCAAGTGTGGAACTCTTGTCGAGTGAGGAATTTTTGTCGTATTAGGGCGTTTCTATTTCTTGTGTCGAAATATCATCTGGTGTGAATGTTCCTGATTCATTTTTGGAAATTTCGTTAAGTTTTGTGTCCGCTGTTTATAAATTTAAAAAGTTAAATTTTAAGCATAATTTTACTTATATTTCTACATACCTATAACATTAGATTCATCGTATTTTGTATATATTGTTCGGTTGTAATTGTTACTGCAGTTATAGACTTTACGTATAACTGATCGAGGTTGACCTTTATAATAGAATTTTAATAATATATTATTTTTATGAAAATTAATTAACATAAATATATAATTAATTATTATTATTATTTAAATAAGATTAAAAGCATCATATTTAATTAAAAAAGAGTGATATTGAAATGTAATAAATAATAAATACTTAACATAAATAATAATTAAATAATTTTGTGTATATAAAAATATATTGAAAATTTTTAGTAGAAAATTTTTTGTTGACTTACATTGATGAAAAATAAACACACTACATAAGAAAAGTCTGAAAATAATCATACTCGTTGGAAGTAATGCTTCGCACTAACATTATTGCATATCTCTTAATCTACTTTGACGCAAAATATCTTTAACCGATTTTGTCTTCAGCTTAACTGATAAACGATTATGGGAGCCGTAAAACCAAACAAAAATTAATTTAATTAATTAAAAGGCTGTAAAATGACTAATTTTTACTCTATATTATACCGCGGCATACAATAAGCTGTTAAAGAAAGTTGTAAAAACCTGCGTATTATTTATAAACACGGAACTATTTAATGCATTAATAACACAGTTCTGAAAAGTATAACATGTTCATTGTTGTAAATAAATCCACTATCGTATTTATACTGACGCATGACGTTATTTTTACTTTGCATCTTTTTATAATTAGAAAAAGGAATGAATTATTCATTTTTTTGGAACTTGAACATTTTAATAATAATAAATATAGTAAAAATGTATAGTATCTCCGTAGTATGAACTAATTTTCACCATTTTTGAAGATGACTATTAAAGGAAAAAATATATACCGAACTGTCATTACCCAGCTGTCTTTGACGCCGGTTTTTTTCGATCGTATAGTATAAACAGATATTTTAGTTTCTGAATTACCTATGTTATTTAACGCCTACTATAACATGTTTTTTAATAGATTCTACGGTATTTTACGGATTGTCATCAAAATAACAATTTCTTGAGGTTCTTATGTTAGTAATTTAAAATATATTTAAAAAGATGATAATACGCATATTTAGGGAAATAAAATGTTTTAATCTATGACTAAGATTTTTCACATTAAACAAATATTCATGTTTATAAATGAAATTACACAAATTACTCAAAAATTACCTTCCTATTTATTTATAATCTTTATATTATATATACATGAATTATGATGCATTTTATTATATTCATTCAGTTTATGCACAATATTTAACTACTGTAGAATTTGCATAATTATTTTTCGTAATTTTATTTATTAAGTGAGAGTGAGAATTTGTCCATGCAAAATGCATTTTAAATAAAGATGCAAACTTATACTTGATAGAAGAAAATAAGCACTATGGATTATGTAGTCGTATCAGTTTAACTATAATTTATTTGAGTATACCCCGTTATGTATGTTGTAGGATTATCTACGTATAAATTATCAACTTTAAAGAGATCATATAATCTGTGTATTTGCAAATGTAATTGATTATATTATTTGCAATTATACAAGGTGTCCCACTAAGAATAGCTCTCGGCTGTATCTAGCTAATAGCTCTCTAGGCTATGAGAAAAAAAATCATGCAAATAGGGCTAAATATAACAAAAATATAAGAGTTTATATTTGACCAAAAATTTCTCTGTTGCGTTTTTTTGCATTTAAGATCCTCAGGTTTCCGCAAAGTGTGACCTATTCATCTCCATTTTTTTGTGAATTTCAATGCCTATTTCTTGTTGGTTTGTCGGTATTAAAGTAAACTACCCCGAGAATGGCGAGTGGCTCACATAGTGTCCATCTTTAAAAAGGGAAATCGTAACGACCCCGCTTGTTATAGAGGCCTAAGCATTAACAGTTCGGTCAGCAGACTTTTTGGAAAGGTGCTACAGGGTAGGCTCAGGGACAGTATTGGTGACAAAATCTCGGAAGACCAAAGCGGATTCGCACCGGGGAAATCTTGCACAGATAATCTTTTTGTCCTGCAGCAGGTGATGGAAAAAAAGATAGCAGTAGATCAAGAAGTCCATCTAGCATTTATTGATTTGGAGAAAGCGTACGACTCTATTCCCCGCAGCAAGATATGGGAAGTCTTGAATATCTTAGAAGTAGATAGACCTTTGCTTAAGATAATAAAAGAGCTATATAAAGTAAATGAATCGTACGTTAAGATAGGACACAGGCTATCTAATCCAATTAACACCACAAAAGGGTTGCGACAAGGATGCAGCTTATCTCCTCTGATCTTCAACGCTTACGTCGAAGTAGCCCTTAGGGAATGGAAGACGAAATGTCAAGGTATGGAAATACCCATTGAGGACAACACACTATTTACCCTGAGCTTTGCAGACGATCAGGTCGTGATTGCGCAGGACTCATGCGATCTAGAGTTCATGACTAAGAGGCTTTATCAAGAAGACAACAAATGGGGACTTCAGGTTAGTCTAAAGAAGACCGAATACTTAGCTGTCAACTCCAACGCTTATTTTGAAGTCTTCATTAATGATAACGTCCAGATTCAACAAGTAGACAAATTTAAATACCTGGATGCTACTATCAACAACGAGGGTTTGGGCAAAGTAGAAATACAAACCCGAATTCAGAAGAGCAAACAAGTTATTGGATGTCTTAACAGCCTCTGGTGGGACCGAAACTTATCTGCAACAACTAAAAAGAGACTTGGAAGAACATTGGTGGAGTCAGTTCTTTGCTATGGTTCAGAGCTATGGACTCTGAGTGCAGACGCGAAACGCAAAATCGAAGTTGTTGAAATGGACTACCTTAGAAGAAGCGCAGGTATATCAAGCCAATGGAAAAAAAGACAAACATCGAGGTCAGGCGTATCATGAATGCATCGGAGGAGACAGTACTGGATCGAATCGAAAAATCCAGCTTAAAATGGTTTGGACATGTTCTGCGTATGCCGGAGAACAGGTGGCCAAAAAGAGTTTTTCAATGGGCTCCCCAGGGCAGAAGAAAGAGAGGTAGACCTAGAAAATCCTGGAACGGAACGGTTACGGAAGTAATGGAAGCTCGTAACCTAGAAGCTGATGACGCTCTAAATCGAGATGTGTGGCGTAGGGTAACGGGAAGGCAGCAATAGGCTGTAGTTAGTAGGGAGTTTTCGTTGCTTTAAAAAAATTCAACGGTACGGTTAACGGATACGTAACCATAACCGCTATTTTGACAGATAAAAAAAACAGTTTTCGGACTTTCGGTTCATCAGTTCGGAGCCGACATACGATACGATAACCGAAAACTGACAGCTAAGCACAGCCCGTAGCGTAGTGTTTTGATTTTTGTATTGTTGTTTGATTTGAAAGTGCTTTATATGACTTCATTGGGTATCGCTATATAGGATGGACAATTTAATTTTATTGGACTCTAGTGATGAATCGGATTTGGAGGATGCTATACTGTTGGAAGGGTTTGAAAACAACATCGAATATCGAGTAGAACTTTATGGGGAGTTAAACCTAGAAATGTTATCTGACCAAGACTGCAAAGCTAACTTCAGCTTTGAAAAAAAAGACATTCCTCGATTAGTTGAAGCACTAAGAATTCCCAACGAGTTTAACACAGATAAAATAAATAATCAAAACATAAACAAAATAGAATGATGTTTTAGGTTAGATCTGTATTTTTCAATGCTGTGTTTCTACTGCGCTAGTGCGCATGCGTACCGCTATGTTAACGGCTTTGGCTAACGTCCGTAAAATATCGGCAGCTAGCGGTTACGATATACGATAATCGAAATTGAAATGTCAAAGTTGTCAATTAGCGTTAACCGGAATTGCAATTTGTAAGCAACGAAAACTCCCTAGTATTTTTTTCAAACAGCGATTGATAAACACCTGTGGGCGGTTGATAGATATTTTTGTCACTCTCCATGTCTCGCAGCCATATAGTAAAACTGGAATGACGTTGGAATTGAATATTCTTAATTTTTTTTATATGTAGAATTGAACTCACCGACAAAGGGCTATATAGAATGTTCATTCTACAGGTTATTAAACTTTGTGAAAGGGATACGTCTGAGATAAGAGGAAAGCCCAAAATAGATTAAAGAAGGTTGCAGTGAATTAGACTAAAAGTCACCTCGTAGAATCCAATCAGCCTCTGAAATTGACGCTCTATTTATCTTTATGTCTATGGTCTACAGCTCTTGCAGATTATTAATTTATTGATTACTTTCGTCACCGAACCTTATGTTTACCTAAAGGTGTGTTTTTTATCGACAACATCGTGGAGATTAACTACGTAAAATTTAGCTTCTTTTTCGCATAAGCTGCGGTTTAACATGTAATAAAAACTTATCTTTTCTGATTTTGTCTGGAAAAAAATTAACCAGCTGATGAAAAAAATCGGGGCCTGTTTCCTTAATGCTGTCTGTCATCAGCATCGCTAAATTTAAGGGATTTAAATATTTAGATGACGTTTCTTAACTGGATATTCTCTCTTGTTTATTCTATCCTTTTTAGGGTTCCGTACTTCAGAAGGAAAAAACGGAACCCTTATACAATCACCTTGTTGTCCCTTCGTCCGCCTGTCTGTTAAGACTCTTTATCTCGGGAACGCGTTGGTATCGAGTTGAAATTAAAACAATGTACTCAGCAGAGAATAGGTACATTAAAGAAATGCTAACTTCATGTTAAAAAATGGAAACAGACGCCACGTGGTGTAGCCTGGCAGTACTAGCTAAATTGAGGGGAATTGGAGGGGCGGGGCTTAAAAGAGGGGAAATTTTCTAAAAAAATATTTTTATTAGTATTACTGATTTACTGTTTAAAGTTAATAAACATATTTTTTATTACTTTAATATAATTTAAAGTATTAAAAAATATGTCTATTAACTTTACACAGCAAATCAATGATATTATTAAGAGAGACTTATTATTTTCAGAGAAAATTCATAGTAAATAAATTACACATTTAGTAAACAATATCATTTATTTTTTAGAGCTGCGATTTATATTACAATAATATTATATTATATATATATATATATATATATATATATATATATATATATATATATATATATATATATATATATATATATATATATATATATATATATATATATATATATATATATATATATATATATATATATATATATATATATATATATATATATATATATATTTTATAACAATGAAAAAGAATATCCCGGAACCTAAAAAAGAAAGACGATCAATTAATGACTTATATTAGTTCAAAATACATTTTGCAAATAACTAATGAATTGGAAAGATAAACATACTATTAAAATTACATTTTAATAGTACGTTATCATCTATTTACTGATTATACATATGATACAACTATCTGCATCATAATAACACACTAATATCACAAAAAATATATGCTAATTTAAATTCCTTTAATGATCTAATGAAACACTATCTAGCCTCGATGCATGCCATTCCAAAGGCAAAAAAACTATTATACCAAATAAATATAAGCTGAATAAAACATAAACTAAGCCAACGTGCATCAAAAAATACTTTTATCAAATCATACCCTTGGATATATTATGTATTTTATATATCGCACATCCCGTTCAAAAGTTTACTAACTCAAAATAGAGAACATTGTCAGGAGAAGTAAAAGAAAATTTAAGTTAAGACAATATGCTCCTTTTTGCATATTAATGGCCAAATAATATAATGTTGATTTAATAAAATTTTACTGACATCTTTCTGAGGTATAAATCAGATTAAAAGGACATTATTTTTGTAATAATTGTTTGTTTTGTAAACATTTTTTGGATACAATACAGTTTTAAACGGGCTGTGCGATCCATAAATGAAAACTAAAAGAAAAATTAACTCTTTGTGTAATACTATGCTAGATACTACTATTTAGATATGCTTTAGTCTGTTTTGTTTTGTTTATTTCACTTTTTTTATAATTTGGCCTAAACATTAGATCTTATAATACGCTTGATTGAAACCAATTCATAGCAAATAACTCCTATAATGGTATCTTTACTTTACAGCAACCTAGAATCATCGAGAACTATGAGTTTCTCAGCTCCTAGCGCTATTAACATGGAACATTCTGTGGTGAAATTTGACACAGAAGTGGAGAAGTTCCACGTTGCCAGACGTCAGAGCGAGAACCATGAGGACACGACTAGTCAGGACAGTGTCCCTGTTCATGCAGATAGTACCACGCATGATTGGCAATCTCTCAGCTGCTTAACGGATAGTACTGAGCATAGTGCTCCGATCAATTTTGATATGAGCAACAGGGTAATCTTACTTAAGTTAAATACCTAATGTAAAAAATATATACACTATAATAAAAATAAAAAAGTGAAATACAATATACAGGGTTGTTCACCACATACGACACGGAGTATTGTAGCTAAACGATGAGATTTTTACAAATTGTAAGTTTTGGGTTCGATGAAGCACTATTAGAGGTACAATTTAAAAATAATTTTACAAGATACAGAGTGTCCCAAATAAGTAAAAAATATCAAAGTTGTATTTTTTTAAATGGAACACCCTGTATATTATTACATTTTTAGTTTCCACGATTAAAATAAAGGTAAATTTGATTAAGGTTTATGATACTTAAACCTTACCGTTTTTGAAATATTTTCAATTTTGTGAAATTGCAGTAAAAATTTTAAGGCTTCATTTCTTCAAAGGTATCAAAGTTTTTAATGCTAAATAATTACTGAAGTTTATTTATTGATCAGTTATTGTGTTGCAATAATAAAAATAATACTACCTTATACAGAGTGTCTAAAAATTTATTTTAAATAATTATTAGCTTCAAATGGCAATAACTTGTTTAATTTAAATGGAACGCCCTGTATATTTTACGAGAATCAGATGCACAATTTAATTGTCTATCAAATAATATTATACCATTTTTTACCTATCTCTTTAAGTTTCCGTAGAAAATGCATTTTCTTGTAATTTAGAACTTATTTATCAATATACCCATGGACTATTGACATTTTAGATTATTTTTAAAGATGTACCAAATTTTTAAAGAGTACAGATACTAATATTGTCGATATAATTCGTTTATTTCATTAAAAAATAAAAAAAACTGTTTAAATATTTGTTAAAGAGGATCAATTAATATGATTCCAGTATTCAAACTACATTAACTGACTGTTTGCGTTGATTAATAATAATTGCTCCAAATACTAATAAACTGAATTTTGTATGGGCATTAGTGTGATAAAAAGTAACACCTTAAAAATGATATTTCATTTTTTAATAAATGCTTATTTATTACAACAGAGACTTTAATTTGATTACTTATTATTATATTGATTTCTGACTCAAATCCACATTTATTTATAATAATTTATTAACGAACACAATTAAGTATGTAATTAATTAGTGTATGGGCGGAAATAATGGTGTTATATTCAATTAATGGTATACTCTTTTATAAAGATTTAAATAGTTTGCTTTTTGCATATAAATGGGCTAGTAATATTATCGTTTTGCTAAAAACGATAATATTATTAGTCTGTACATTTGTTGCTTTAAAAACAATCTAAAATGTCAATATTCCATGGATATATTGATAAATGAGGTCTAAATTATAAGAAAATGCATTTTCTACGAAAACTTGAAGGGATAGGTAAAAAATGGTATAATACAATTTGATAGACAATTTAATTGTGCATCTGATTCTCCTAAAATATACAGGGCATTCCATTTAAATTAAAGAAGTTATTGCCGTTTCAAGCTAATAATTATTTAAAATAAATTTTTAGACACTCTGTATAAGGTAGTATTATTTTTATTATTGTAACACAATAACTGATCAATAAATAAACTTCATTAAATATTTAGTATTAAAAACATTGATACCCTTGGAGAAATGAAGCTTTAAAATTTTTACTGCAATTTCACAAAATTGAAAATATTTCAAAACGGTAAGGTTTAAGTATAATAAACCTTAATCAAATTTACCTTTATTTTAATCGTAGAAACTAAAAATGTAATAATATACAGGGTGTTCCATTTAAAAAAATACAACTTTGATATTTTTTATTTATTTGGGACACTCTGTATCTTGTAAAAATATTTTTAAATTGTAACTCTAATAGTCCTTCAACGAACCCCAAACTTACAATTTGTAAAAACCTCATCGTTTAGCTACAATACTCCGTGTCGTATGTGGTGAACAACCCTGTATATTTAAGGCTAAGTTACCAAGAGGCATCGATAAGATAAGGCCTCACATCGAACTGATCGACAATGTACCATTGCTGGTGTCTCTGTTCACTGACTGCACACCAACAGCTACCAGGGAAATGCTAAGGATTATGCAGGACTATCATGAAGTAGTTTGTATTTTAGGCTCGTCTCAAAACTGTGATAATGCAGGCATATTCATGCAGGCTGATGCATCGTAAGTGCATACTTTTTTATATAATAGTGTCTCACAAAAAATTATTACTAATTAAATTGTATTAAAGTTAACAACCATATTATATTAGTATTAGCTGATTAGACTAACTTTGTACCTCCTAAAAGTGACGTCACTTATGTGCATTTAACGAAATAAGCAATAGGGCGTCACTAAAGAATACGATTCTGAGCATGTTTAATTCAGTTTGATTTAGGTAGTGAGATATACCAGCCCTATAATATTTCTACTTATTTAAGACTTACCCTGTATGATTTTTAGTGGATATTACAAACTCTAAAACTGTTATATTTGATTTAGGATATCCGTGGAGCCCTTATATCCGCAAGTATGCCAGAAAATCGAGGTTTACAAGAAAGCAGAAGGTTTCAGCCCTACAGATCTGTCTTGTTTATTGAATTCTATAGCTTGTGCGCTGACTATAAACCGTGCTGACCCCATCTCCATCTACCATTTAATAATGGAAGCTAGGAATTTTGGAGCGACCCTGTGGAGTTCAGGTAGGTATTCAATATTTTTTAATTTATTAGATGTATCGTACTGTAACTTTGAGTAGAAAGAGAAAGGGAGGAATCAGACATTTAGATCCATAGATTAAAAAATGTATTTATTATTACATCTTTGCTGCAAACTAAATACAGCTAATATATTCATCCAACTAAATACAGCCAGCGGTAAAATGGGCCTCGAAATGAATTATATTAAAACTAAAATAATGTACGAGACGAACTGGTAGACCGAAAAAATAACACCAGGAAATAGTCGAAGAATATATATATACAGGGTGGTCCGAACTGTATTCCGGAAACTTCGGCAGCATATTCTGCAGTTAAAAATAAGTAAAAAAATAGTGTCGAATATAATCCAAAAAATTACTTAATTAAATTTATTAATCCGTAGTATCTAACTAGCGTGACGTCATAAATCTCGCTCCGAGGCTGTTCTATTAGAGACGGCATTGGTCTGATATTTAGAAATGTCAAAAGCTGATGAAATTTTACTTTTGATAATTATGACATTTCGTGTTGATTTTTGCAAGACGTGGAAGAACTGTCACTTGGTTTATTATTTTCCTTTTCTATTTCACGAAAGTAAAAAGAGTTACCTATCTGATTCGTTCAGGCACCCAATTTAAAGAATACCAGTAACTTTTTTGACAGAGGGATTTTATATTTGCCATGTTGGTAAAAAATAACGGTCAAAATTCAAAGTTATTCATTTTATAGACTATATATACAATTATAGATATACAAGGGTTTAGTAAATAATAATAATTCGAATACGTTTAATTTCAGTACAATTTTGGCTGTGTTGTTGCGTGGTGTTGAGTCTGATGCAGGTTTCCGCTGTAGTTCTGATGTTACCCGAACTTTTGACCACCGGTCACAACCTATGGCTTGCAGGAGTTGTGGTTCCGGTGATAAGCATGGCCTTATCCATGAACCCAGTCGATCCTGACGTTATGAAGAAACCCATCGGGAAATCCCAAGCTCTTTTTCGATGGGATGTAAGTATTCTAGTTAATGAGTCGTACTATACAGGGTGGTCCGAACTGTATTCCGGAAACTTCGGCAGCATATTCTGCAGATAAAAATAAGTAAAAAAGTTTCTATAAATTTATGTCCTAAAATGCTTACTTTCGGAGATACAGGGTTTAGAAGTTTCATTTTTATTTCGATTTTTTCCAAATAATTTATGAAGTAACGTAAATATTTGGATGAAAATTGGTATCTTGGAGGTTTTTGACATGAGAAGTTTGATTTTGATGTCAATATGACTCCTACTTGTAGAGGACGCCACCTACATATCTTTGAATTGGTTTGAAGAGTAATAACTTTTTGTTCGTACCTGTATAAAACTACCGAGTAAAAAAATATAAATAAATAAATAAATAAATAAATGCCTTTATTGTCAAAAAATTTTTCAATTTGTAGACAAAGGTAAACGAACAAACAAAGTAGAAAAAAAACAAGGTACACAAACAAACAAACAAAAGATAATACAAAACATTATATAAATAATATTGTCAGTCTTATTGTTAAAATAAACATTTATAAATGTTTACAATGTCAAAGAACAAAAAAATTAAAATAATATTCAAAAATATTTAGCCAGTTTATAGCAAAATATCAATAACCTCTAAATAAATTAATTTCGATGTCATTAGTAAATATAACAATAGCAAACATTAGACCAGTGTTTTCAAGATCAAATTCGATTATCAAAATATAAGTCATTTACGGTGTAGAAAGCCTTGTCTAGTAAATAAGATTTCAATGCTTTGCGAAATGAAAAAAATGATGTTATGGATTTGATTTCAAATAGCAGTTGATTGTGCATTTTTTTCGAGTTGTATAATATTGAACTTTTAACTAACTCTGAGCGTGGGGTAGGTAGATAAAGATCTTGCTCCGCGTTCCTGAGTGGATAAGTGTGAGGATGGCCTTTCTTGAGAAGCTGATACATTTACGACATTTTTTTTTGCATAAAAAAGTCTCTTGGAAAAAATCGCTACGAGTAATGATTCTCTAGATATTTGGAATCTAAATTACCAATACCTGTCATCATTCACATAACAAAAGTTCAACAGAAACTGTTTTATCATCATCTCTTCGCAGAAAAATTCATGATCAATTTAAAAAATAAAAATTTCCCGAATTTATTATTTTAGTCAAATAACTATCTATTCAACGTCGTTATTTTTTGTCAATAATGACATGCATTGACTATTTCCATTATAAATATCTTGAGAACGGTTACTCGTAGCGATTTTTACCAAGAGACATTTTTTAAGTATAAAGTCATGGAAATGTATATTTTCTCACTCAGTGCTTTTATACAGGTACGGACGAAAAGTTATTATTCTTCAAAACAGTTAACACACATGTAGGTGGCGCCCCCTACAAATGGGAGTCATATCGACATCAAAATTACTTCAGAAATTATTTGGAAAAAATCGAATTAAAAATGAAACTTCAACACCCTGTATCTCCGAAACTAAGCATTTTAGGACATACATTTATACGAACTTTTTTACTTATTTCTATCTGCAGAATATGCTGCCGAAGTTTCCGGAATACAGTTCGGACCACCCTGTATATATGTTTTTTGTAATTTTTAAAATTAAAATTCCAAAAGACTAACATACACTTCCTGTATTTCTGTTTTTAGACGGCTGTGTTTATATTCTGGTGTTACGGCCTTAAATTTTTACCTACTGTGGTAACCGTTTTGATATGTTATGCTGGCATATTGACTAGTCATTGTAACCAAATGTGTTCAGAACCTTTTACAGAATTAGGACCTTGTAGGTAAGTATTTTTTAATATTATTCATTTTTATTTCAACTAATAAAGGTACTTTAGGGAGAGCGCCCACCAAAGTGACGTAGCATCTGACGTGGCACGTCATCTGGCAAGTAACATGCATCTAGCAAGTTACGTCGAATTGAACAAACGATAATAAGTGTGTCAGCGCACACTGAAGTAGCGCTGAACTACGTCACTTTGATTGGCGCTCTCACTTAGACTTACTCACTGATATCTTATCTGTTCCTTGAACGTTATCAAGTTTCAAGAAGAAAATATTGGTTAACGATATGACGTTTTTTCAGTAATAGTTTTATCACTTACTTGAACTTGTTATTGATGCATCAACTTGCATGTTATCGATAATATTGCTGTAAAGTTTATGAAATAATTAAAAATACAGTTGTTTCAGACGGATTTTTGATGAATTTGAAGAGTTCGTTTTATTTTTGCTAGATAAAATTTGCTAGCCAGTGGAAAATTTTCAATAGAAATAAAATATTTTATATTTAAACAGAAATACTTTTTTAACCAGCAATTTAAAACGTCTGTACAGGATATACCATATTCGAGCCTCATCGTTGGGACCTCGGCAACTAGAAGAGATACGAGGTGGGTCAGTTACTCCATTGGGTGGGTTAAGTACATGCAAAATTGCGCAATTTGATGCTGGTCAAAATTAAAAGTTTAAAAATTCCGAGTATCTCTTCTAGTTTTTGAGATACCAATGTTTAGGGTTGAATTTGGGACACCGTGTACAGGGTATCACATTTGAAGATTTCGATATATCGTCACCCTAGAATTAGGTTGTTCCCTATCCACTTTTGGGGTAAAATGAGTTACATACACCATTTTTTTATGCAGAATTAGCTTGTTCTATATCCACAAAAACAATATAGCCAAATTCACAAATAAAGAAAAAAAATCGAAAAATTTTGTACTATATCCATATTAATATGAAAGTCACGAAACCATATAATGGCCTACATCCAAAAATCACTATATCCTACAGTTTGTAATCAAAAAAATAAAATTATTGTGTTCTTTATCCTAAGAAGTGGATATGGAACGAAAATACCAGATCAAAAAATATGTTACTATGCATAAAAATTAGATTGTTCTATATCCATTTATTCTCGATCTCTTTCTTTCTAACATACAATGTATGTATCTGTTTTTATTTAAATTTAAGGCTTTTGTTTTAAGCGGGTGAAATTGCACCACTAAATGTTCGTTTGACAAATAGGCGGCAAATCGGTTCGTTTGAAAAGCACTGATTGCCTGATTTGTTAGCAAATTTGAATGTTTCACAATTTGGAATTTCGTGAAAGCAGCTGCTTCAACTCAATTGACTGCTCAATCGTTCGTTTGAAAAGCACTGATTGCCTGATTTGTTAGCAAATTCGAATGTTTCACAATTTGGAATTTCGTGAAAGCAGCTGCTTCAACTCAGTTGACTGCTCAATCGTTCGTTTGAACAGCACTGATTGCCTGATTTGTTAGCAAATTCGAATGTTTCACACTTTGGAATTTCGTGAAACCAGCTGCTTCAACTCAGTTGACTGCTCAATCGTTCGTTTGAACAGCACTGATTGCCTGTGTTAGCAAATTCGAATGTTTCACAATTTGGAATTTCGTGAAAGCAGCTGCTTCAACTCAGTTGACTGCTCAATCGTTCGTTTGAACAGCACTGATTGCCTGATTTGTTAGCAAATTCGAATGTTTCACACTTTGGAATTTCGTGAAAGCAGCTGCTTCAACTCAGTTGACTGCTCAATCGTTCGTTTGAAAAGCACTGATTGCCTGATTTGTTAGCAAATTCGAATGTTTCACACTTTGGAATTTCGTGAAAGCAGCTGCTTCAACTCAGTTGACTGCTCAATCGTTCGTTTGAAAAGCACTGATTGCCTGATTTGTTAGCAAATTCGAATGTTTCACACTTTGGAATTTCGTGAAAGCAGCTGCTTCAACTCAATTGACTGCTCAATCGTTCGTTTGAAAAGCACTGATTGCCTGATTTGTTAGCAAATTCGAATGTTTCACAATTTGGAATTTCGTGAAAGCAGCTGCTTCAACTCAGTTGACTGCTCAATCGTTCGTTTGAACAGCACTGATTGCCTGATTTGTTAGCAAATTCGAATGTTTCACAATTTGGAATTTCGTGAAACCAGCTGCTTCAACTCAGTTGACTGCTCAATCGTTCGTTTGAAAAGCACTGATTGCCTGATTTGTTAGCAAATTCGAATGTTTCACACTTTGGAATTTCGTGAAACCAGCTGCTTCAACTCAGTTGACTGCTCAATCGTTCGTTTGAAAAGCACTGATTGCCTGATTTGTTAGCAAATTCGAATGTTTCACACTTTGGAATTTCGTGAAAGCAGCTGCTTCAACTCAATTGACTGCTCAATCGTTCGTTTGAAAAGCACTGATTGCCTGATTTGTTAGCAAATTCGAATGTTTCACAATTTGGAATTTCGTGAAAGCAGCTGCTTCAACTCAGTTGACTGCTCAATCGTTCGTTTGAACAGCACTGATTGCCTGATTTGTTGAGCAATTGACTGCTCAATCGTTCTCTAATACTATCAATACTAGAGATAGCTAAAAAACATTTAAATAATCCAATGAAAGTTAAAAATCAGATTTAAAATCTGATTAAGTTATTCTAACACTATACATACCAAACAAATAGGCGGAAAAAAATGATAGTTTTTAATCAACAATGCAGACGAATAATTATTACTATTGTATTTTAGGTTTTTATTTTTTTATGGTGTTTTTAGTTAATGTCTTAATGTCTCCATTTCAGTTATTTTGTGTTGAAATAATATTTTGAAATACAAATAAATCAGCTTAAAATGAGTATTATATAATTCTATATCCCCTTATTTTGTTCTATATCCCTAAAATTGGTTCAATGCACAGCAAATAGACACATTTGTTCTATATCCAAATCTAAAATCACTTATATCTTTTAAATAAACCTTCTAAAAGTAAAATAAATACATATGTTTGATAGGTTTTTATATTACCTTTAATTTATATGTTTAATAGAACCATTTTGGTATATAGTGTTCACGGATATCCAGTTTAAACTTTAAACTTTGTTTTCTCAGTTTCATCGAAATGGTCTATAGAACAATCGTATTCTAGGGTGACGAACTGTCAATGTCATGTATCCTCTCAGGGTGCATCCACATTATCCTAAAAAAAGCCTTGAATAGATTTCCAGCAATTCTATTGGCTGAAAAATTTATTTGTCAAATTCATCTGTCAAAAATTTCAGCCAATAGAATTACTGGAAATCTATTCAAGGCCGTTACGCCGATCCGCTTTTTCTAGGATGGCATGGATGCACCCTCATTGGACAGACTTCACCAGATTTTTATAAATTTGAGGATCGAAATGAGCGGAAAAAATGAAAAAGTATCCACACCTTTTATATATCATGATATACAATGATGTTTTATCCTTAGATGCGTGTTTTTTTACAATCCAACTGGCTATCGAAACATCACAGATGGCGATGATGTAGGTGGCTTTGAAGAAGGCAGTTGGACACTGATGACAGCTAGATTAATAGTGATATTTATTGTTCTGTTGCATTTTGGTAAAAAACTGATATTTGCATAATAACAAATCTTCTAAGTATATTGTATTTTTTTATTTTTAGTTGTTATATCTGTTGGATTTGTACATAGGGATCGCCTTTGTTACAGGAAATTTCCCCACAGCAACCTAGTTTGGTTGGTAACAATTTTCACCTTGTAAGTATCTATGTCATTGTTGCCAACTAAGAATGGACGCCAATCCGGCTGTATCTCAGAAACTACTTATCGTATAACTTTGGGAAAAAAATTCTAATAAATAAATCGACCAAGAGTAATCGCTGGAAATTATTTTCAAGTTCGAGAAATGTCCGCTAGAGGGCGTTTCTCTTATAGCCAATCAGAAAATAGGGGGTTTCTCAAAAATATGCAAATGAACAGGTATTTTAAATATTACTATTGTAATCATCGAGATATTTGTAATTTTTTTGATATAAAGTATTTTGCTCTATCTCATAAAAGAAAGTGGTGGGGGAAGTTTAAATTTGCTTTTATTAAAATAAGGATAACTCTGTGGTTTGGGTTACACGATTTAAACAAACTAGGGCTCGTTTAAAAGAGCTTTTCTTCCTTGATGATCTCCAGTATAAATTTTGTTTCCATAATTTTTTTCGTGGTAGCGAGAGGGCGCTGTTTGACATCATAACAGATATTGCGCTTTTGCATAAAAAAATTAAATAGGAGGCTCTATTTCTTTTTGCACAGTTAAATAGAGCACACAATTTCCAAAATATCAGCGCAAACCGCAACTTTCTATCTTCTCTCTAACCGGAGATACTGAGAGAATAAATCATGTTAGGCTCCCGCTTAGGATTATATAGTCTAAAAATTATAGTAGTAGGCTAGGAAACAAAAAAAGGTAACTTGGTTACGTCAAAATATCAAAACATATATTTCAATTTCATTTTAGTACCATTTAATTGTTATTTATCCATGTTCGTTCTTGATTCGACCCCATAAATTAAAACCCAGGCATATTGAATCCGATGACCCAGCTGGCCATGGAAATATGCCGCTCGAGCGTCTCTATCTACTAAAGTAAGTGGTATCCAAGAAGTTCCACACATTTATAGCAAAATAAGCGGCGCAACTTTAATAAAATAAATTAATTTCATCATGACGGATCCCCTAACAACATTGGCAATTCATTTCTTAGAAATTAGGGATAGTTAATTTCATTCAGACAATTAAAAAGGTCCAATTATTCGCCATCCTAGAATTCCTGCCTAAACATTTACCGACCAACGGTCTTGGTGCTGAACTACTTGCACCATTATTTGGACCAGTAGTGCATATTGTTAAGATTTGCACCTTCGGTGCTATATGAAAGGTGACCCAAACGAAATAAACGTTATAATATAGTAATATACAGGGTGTCCCAGAAATGAGTGCAGATATTTTAAGGTGTGGTAGATCTGGCCAAAATAAACATATTTTCTCTTTACCATTTTTAAAATAGATTGAAAATAACCGAGTTATTTAACTTTGAAAATTTAAAAAAATAATCGCAACATTTTGAGAACCACCGGCAGATATTGCCAACTACATCCAATTACCCGGATCAAGCCCGGATTTCAGTTAATTCGACGCACTGTGTTGCCATATGGACAAGAAAGTATATGTTTAAAAGTAAGTCATAAAATCACAACATCTGAGGAGTTTGCAGAGATGCATTAAATTTTTAAGATTGTGATATTACTACATAAAATAAATTAAAAGTTAAATGTTTAAAAGTTAAAAAAGTTAAATTAAAAAACTTACCCAACATTAAAAAAGATACTTATGACAGATCGATGCAACTGCGACAGTTCTCTTTTTCGATACACACTTAACTAAAATACACTTCATTGTGCTGCTTTACTTGTACTTGCTATTATAAAAACTGCTAAAATAACAGTTCCCATTTTTAACTTAGCACATTATTTTCATATAGACTTCATCACAATTTGAACCATTGATTTACAAAACACCTTAAAAAGCACACATTACACATTACTTTGAATACTACCTTTCTGAATGAATAAATGTTGAGAATTATTGTCTCTTACCGCCACTTTACGAACTACTTTCAATCTAAGAAAATACATGTTTCACTCAACAATTTTAAATACGTATTTTGTTTTTTCGCTACTTTTTCGATGTATTTCGACAATTCCATCGACAGCACAACCGTCGGCCAAGACAGTCGCGCATCACTGGTTGGTAACTGCTCACTGCTCCTTTGTCGCGTCGGCGTGTCGAGCTTGCGTCATGCGAGGTTGCCGTAGTTTCAACAATTTCAAATTCAAGACACTAGAAGCAATCAAATTCTTATTAAATTTTAAAAATAAAACAGAAAAACATGAAAGGAAACAAACAAAACACAAATGAATTGATTATTGATAAGGTCACAAAAAAGAAATTTCTAAAATGTTTATCGTAATTCAGAATTCAATATATCAAAAACAGCCCGACGAATAATCAATTCATTTTTGTTTTGTTTGTTTCCTTTCATGTTTCTCTGTTTTATTTTTAAAATTTAATACGAATTTGATTGCTTCGAATGTCTTGAATTTGAAATTGTTGTAACTACGGCAACGTTGCTTAACATCGTCGTCTGACGCAAGCCCGCCACGACGGCGCGGCTCAAAGGACCAGTTCACACGTGGCACTCTTGGCCGACGCGCGACGGTTGGTCTGTCGAAATACATCGAAAAAATAGCGAAAAAACAAAATAGAGAGATACAATTCTTAGATTGAAAGTAGTTTGTAAAGTGGCGATAAGAGACGGTATTCAAAGTAATGTACGCTTTTCAAGGTGTTTTGTAAATCAGTGGTTGAAATAAAACAGAGAAACATGAAAGAAAACAAACAAAACAGAAATTAATCGATTATTCGTTGGGCTGTTTTCGATATATTGAATTCTAAATTACGATAAACATTTTAGGAATTTCTTTTTTGTGACCTGGTTGTGAATAATATGATGAATCATTTTCGTAAACGTCATAAACGTAATGTTTCAGCCTTTTAGTTAATTTTCGGTGGTTTTTGTTAAGTTTTCATTGAAAGGGTAAGTACTAAAAATAATTAATGTTTTTTTTTTCTATAATAATTATTAATAATGAGCACTGATAAAAGATTAAATTTAACATTCCTAATTTTTGAGTAGAAATTTGTCTATGAATTTATAAATGTAGAACTATTAGAATGTGGATAACATAGGAGGTTGCAACACTGCAAGGTTTAGATACACCCTAGAGAAATCTCAGGTGAATAAACAAGTGGCACTAAAAAGTTTTTTCAAATTTCCCGGAAAATGTCAAGAAAAATTTTAAATTTTCAACATTTTTTTTTCGCAAAAAAAACCTCATAGGCGTGTTTCTGGGGTTGAACTATACTGCCAGTTAAAATATCTGCACTCATTTCTGGGACACCCTTGTATAACACAAACAACAGGTAAAACATGAAAACAGGTGAAATCAAGGACTAACTTGGATTAATAGCTAATAACCTGTAATGACGTTACATGAAATAAACCTCTAGTTTTCGGCCATAGGAAATGCGGCCGTTTTCTGTTAAAAGCAATATGACGGCACAACATTTCTAGAAATTTTAATAAAATTTTTGATTGTCCGACTTTCGGACATTTTAATCTGAGAACTACCTACGTATAATTAACCAATAAATTCGTAAAAATTATATGGATGGATGATAATGTTACATAAACACGTTTAAATATTTAGGACGTCAATTTTTTTAAGAAAATGACCGAAATTCGCATGCATGAAAACTGAACATAAACGTTTTGAGATTTTGACATAACTAATTTACCTCTTTTTGTTTCCTAGCCTACTACTATAATTTTTAGACTCTATAATCCTAAGCGGTAGCCTAACATGATTTTTCTCTTAATATCTCCGGTTAGAGAGAAGAAAAGTTGCGGTTTGTGCTGATATTTTGGAAATTTTGTGCTCTATTTAACTGTGCAAAGAGAAATATAGCCTCCTATTTCATTTTTTTATGCAAAAGCGCAAAATTTGTTATGATGTCAAACAGCGCCCTCTAGCTACCACGAAAAAAATTATGGAAACAAAATTTATACTGGAGATCATTAAGGAAGAAAAGCTCTTTTAAACGAGCTCTAGTTTGTTTAAATCGGGTAACCCAAACCACACACAGAGTTATCTTTATTTTAATAAAAGCAAATTTAAACTTCCCCCACCACTTTATTTACAAAAATATTACAAATTTCTCGATGATTACAATAGTAATATTTAAAATACCTGTTCACCTGCATATTTTTGCGAAAAACCCTGTTTTCTGATTGGCCAGAGGATCAGAGAAACGCCCTCTAGCGGACATTTTTCGAACTTGAAAATAATTTCCAGCGATTTCTCTTGGTCGATTTACTTACTAGAATTTTTTTCCCAAAGTTATACGATAAGTAGTTTCTGAGATACAGCCGGTGTCCATTCTTAGCTGGCCACCCGGTACATATATTTTAATATTAATAACTTATTTTAAAATATACCTAATTATGATGAGATCTTTCTTCATCTTAGTTTCTGATAAACTAATTATATATTTTTTAGGGTTTTCTTACAGAGCCTGTACTTAATATTCACATACAGGTTGTTCGTTCAAACACTGCCAGACAATGAAAAATTCGACATGCCTTTATGGGTGATCTTATTTGGGGCACTGTCGCCAATATTTGTTTTCCTAATAAACGAAGTAGTGAAAAAGCAAGAGATCATGTAAGTCTGTACTTTATTTAGTGCAATGTAAGTTATATTTTTCACAAATGACACTAATATGTATGCCAGCTAACATTATTACATCGACTATACTACTCATAGCCTAAGAGCTGACGACATATTTAGAGAACATATTTTAGGCAAGCTAGAATAACTAAAAATGTATAGTTTATTAACTGGTGAACCCAGAATCCTAAGTCTGGCTGGGGGGTTGGGGGTATTTCGCTACTGCGCAACCCATAACATTTGCAAAAAAATAAATCCAAAAAACATTCTTTAGGCAACTTGAAATTTGTTTATTCTTAAATTTTAGCATCTATTTAACCTAGAAATAAGTATGCCAGACTTTTTTTTCGGGTTTAAAAAGCAACCCGACCTTTCCAAATATGTTTAATTATTATACCTGGAAAACATACTTAGGCATTCTAAAATTCTTACAGCGTGTTTATTAGATGATATTAAAAATATGTGTTAATTGCCAGACGAATTCAATGGGATTTAATACTTGCTTGACGCGAATAAAGATTTTAAATGAGCGCGATAAGAAAGTCTTATGAGCATCTATAAGCGCGAGAAAGATAGTTTATTGAGACCCGTCGGCAGCCGATGCGGCTGACGTAACAGCATTTTGGAGTCGTAAAAATTAAAAAAAAAAACTAACAAATGTTGAATAAATAAAAAGAAACATTTTTTAATAAAAATGTATGATTGAAATCCTTTCAATAAGAAGACTTTTTAATTTAAGAATTTTGTATCTGAAAGAATAAAAAGACGAATAATTATTTAAAAATTAGCATAATATAAAATATATTTTTTTCAAACGTCACAAAAGTATAATTATTACTACACTTTAGTGACATATTATATTATTATCAATTTTTGTGACCTGATTGACAATATAAAAAAGTAATTTTAACGCCTAAGCAGAATAAAGTGTAAAGCGTAAAGCACTTTTACTTACTTTTGAATCTATTTAGAAAGATTAACAATGGTACTTTAATAAAATTCCGGAATACTTATTTTTTTAGTACTGTACAGGGTGGATCAAATTCGACGCTTTTAAATGGAAACACCCTTTTCTATAGGAGATAGACGAAAACTAATATCGGTGTCTGGAGCTCAATTTTCATTAAAAACATGATGGTGAAAACTGCACATCAATATCTGTTACCGTTTCGGAGTTACAGGGTGTTTTTCAAAAATGTGCATTTTTAACAAATCGCTGTAACTTTTTACTATGGAAAATGTTGTATTTCCATGAAAACATTTCCAAAGCACCTTTTTACGTAGAATTTAATGGTTTAAGTATAATTTTTTTAAAACTAATAATTTAAGAGTTATCAACAGAAAAATTGATTTTTTATTTGGGACACCCTCTATATTTTTAGTTAACTGAAAAGAATTTAAAATTACCTTTCCAAAAATATAGCACACTTGATAGTTTGTTATAATCCCCTACGAAATACAGAATTTTTAACAGTTCGCCACTTTTAACTAGTAGGCTTTGGACCCCTTATTGATGATATACCCCTAATGGAAATTGAAAACATATTTTCCCAGCAAGACGACGCAGCGCCTCTGAACGCTGAAGTTATCAGCAAATTTTTGCAGCCAATTTCAAGAATATTTGAATAGCTAACCAAGATCCCAGCCGTTGGCCGTCGAGGCCGCCTGACTTAGTGCTCATGGATCTAATCCTATGGATATATTTGAGGAAGAATAAAGGTTCCTTATTCTTCCGTATAATCTAGACAAGAATTAGAAATACTTAGCAGTTATGAGAGGGTATTTTTCACCCCACTGAGTTAATGAATTCCGCGAAAAATGTTCAAAAACCCCGTCTGTCCATAACAGAAGACGGTCGATATGTCGAACACTTGTAGCAAAATCTCATGTCTTGGTTTGCTATTTATTTTTATTGTTATTAGATATAGTTTAAATGTGTTGATGTTGCGTAAATATATTTTAAATTGTTATAAAATTCTGCATCTCTCACAGCAAATATTATTTTCCTTTTAATTGATTCTCACAGCTAGAATTTTTTTGCATTACAGCCGGTGCCGTTCAAAGCCTACTTATTTAAAGCGGGCGAATTTTTTTATACTCTATATCTCGAAGAGGAATCGAGCAAAATATCAAGTGTGTTATATTTTTGGAAAGGTAATTTTAAATTCTTTTCAATAAATTAAAAATATACAGGGTGTCCCATATAAAAAATCAAATTTTCTGTTGATAATTCTTAACTTATTAATTTTAGAAAAATTATACTTAAACCATTAAATTCTACGTAAAAAGGTGCTTTGGAAATGTTTTCATAAAAATACAAAATTTCCCATAGCAAAAAAGTTACAGCGATTTGTTAAAAATGCATATTTTTGAAAAACACCCCGTAACTCCGAAACGGTAACAGATATCGATATGCGGTTTTCACAATCATGTTTTTGACAAAAATTGAGCTCCAGACACCGATATTATCTCGAAGATATAAGTTTTTGTCTATCTCCTATAGAAAAGGGTGTTTCAATTTAAAAGCGTCGAATTTGACCCACCCTGTACATTGTACCCTTTTGTCGGGACTACGTTTTCTAGTAAAACCACTTCTTTAAATTTTAAACCATGTTGTTGGCGCACTTTTAAAAATCCTTTGCATTTTTGTAGTCTGCCTTCATCAAAAACAATAACTTTGTCACTAGTAACTTTTTTACAAACTACACAACTTAAATGTTTTTTTATCCATTGTGATTTAGTAGTTAGTAGTGAAATTAGTAGTTACTATTTATTCTAAACTAAGTAATTATTCTAAACTATTTACACTATGCACATCAATATTTAATTTATAAATACATATTTGTACATGGTAACTTAATTCCAACAAAATAATCTCTGAATTAAAAGCCTGCAAATAATTGAAATGAAACCGAAAAAAAAATTGTTTTTATGAAAATTTGAAGTACTCCAAAATACTGTTACGTCAGCCGCATCTGCTGCCGACGCGACGGGTCACAATAAACTATCTTTCTCGCGCTTATAGATACTCATAAGACTTTTTTGTCGCGCTCATTTAAAATCTGTATTCGCGTCAGGCAAGTATTAAAACCCGTTGAATTCGTCTGGCAATTAACACATATTTTTTAATATCATCTAATAAACACGCTGTATTTTTATTGCCTAAAGTATGTTTTCCAGGTATAATAATTAAACATATTTGGAAAGGTCGGGTTACACTTTAAACACGAAAAAAAAGTCTGGCATACTTATTTCTAGGTTAAGTTGATGCTAAAATTTAAGAATATACAAATTTCAAGTTGCCTAAAGAATGTTTTTTGGATTTATTTTTTTTGCAAATGTTATGGAAATGCCCCCAACCCCCCAGCCAGACTTAAGATTCTGGGTTCACAAGTTATTAAACTTTATTTTTTTTTGTTATTCTAACTTGTCTAAAATATGTTCTCTAAATATGTGGCCAGCTCCTGGGCTATCAGTGTAATGTAGTTCATATCTTATGATGTCACTATCGGAAAAAGTTATTCTTTATTGCTAAATAATCCATTTTTGGCATATACAATATGATCGAAAAAAAAAAGACGTTAGCGATGACTTTGAAATGAAGATTGCTGTCATTTTATATGTAAAATTATATTGGGAATGTTATCGATCTTCATTTCCAAGCCAACTAGGCGCCGCTCCCGCCGTCTCTTTTTCGTTCATACGGTACAACAAAAATAGATAAAAAATTAAATCTTTTTCTCACTGTGTGAAAGTAAAACAAAGAAAAACCTCTCACTTTACTAAATACTTTTTCTTAATAGTATTTTTTCTACTGATTAAATCTCAGGACATATTTCTGTTTATTTTTTAGGGTGAATAAAAGATTTCTAAAAAGAGCTCGTCTAGATTTTGGAACCAAACTAGGAATGAATTCGCCTTTTTAATTGTTTTTTGTCTTGAATATCGTTACGATTATTTAAAAACGAGTGCCATTTAACTGTAATTTTGAATGCCTTCTATGGTACTTTGGAACTGATTTCATCACTATACAGGGTATTTCAAAAAGTAAAGATGTAAAAAAATTAAAGTTAAATTTTCTTGTGTGATTTTAAGCAAAATTACAATATATTTAAATATTCTATTGAATTCTAAAAATTCTCTTAAATTTATTTTGTCAATTTTATTGAAACAAAGTTTTATGTAATTTATAGATAATTTTATATATATGTTACGGTTAAGGTCCGATGTCCGGTTAATGTCGACATTACCCGGTTAATCTCGAGAATAACACACAACAAAACAATCAAAAACATAATCTAACCTAAATATTAACATGTTAATGTCGACATTAACTGGACATCGGACTGTAACCGTAACATATACATACATTGTCTTTTTTTTTCTTTAAATAATTTGAATTGTCTGTTTTTTTTAACTTCCTTAGGGCTCGAACACACTGACGACCAGGTCGCACCGGCCAGGCCGCTGCTACTTCTAAAACCATTAAATCAAATGATACCGTGCACACTAACGTCCTGGCCGTCCGTTGGTCGTTGCGACCAGTAGACTGCACTAAAATATTATTATTTTCTGCCGCTTGTTGTCGGTTTTCTTCCAAATTAATAATTTTTCAGATGAAATCCCTCAAATTCAACGCACAATATTTTATTTTCTATAAGATATAGTGTTTTAGTGTAGTTTTTGCACACGTGCAGAAAATCCAAAGAAATAGTATACAGACTGGATCAAAGGTAAACTTAAATCTAGTCCCTTTTTTTATCAAGGGTCGATTCTAGTAAAAATTCAAAACATTTTTATATGACATACCTACTCTATTTATGGTTGGTATGATACCTGTTATTATACCTTCGAGTTTCGATGTTAAAAAATAAAAAAAAATAATATTTACAGTTTTTCTACAACCATTTGTTTTTTTTTATTAAATTAGTTTTTTTAGTTGTATTGTAGTCATATACAAGGAGGACAACTGTATTTTAAATATTATAGTTAATTTAACGTTTTTCAAACAGGGTTCATTAGACTATATTTCTACTAGGTACATTATTTTTTAAAAAAATTATGAGTAAAAGTAACTTAAACATTCATAAAAATAGAAGTAATTACTGTTGTAGATCCTTCGTTATATTGTAAACATTGAAATAACTGGAAGCTAAACTTTCTACCTGCTTATATTTAGAGCCAGTGTCTGACGACCTTTTTTACGATGGCCCTAATATGTTTACTTCTAAAGTCGATAAGAGCCATCAGTAGAAGTCCATATCAGTAGAAAAAAGAAACAGAATATCTCCCTTTTTGTCGGTCGCGCGTACAAAATGCTTTTTGTTCGGCCTATTTGTTCTGCTTGTTCGTGCGCGCTCAGTTCGTTCGGGCTAAAATGCTCAAGTCTGGACGCACCTTTAGGAACAATACTGTTTTTGTCCTTTATTGATATAATGCTGAAAATCTCTCGAGTTACATGTCTCACTCTACACATATTAAATTACATAGACGTAGGATGTAGAATATTCTGTTATGAAACGACTGATGGAATAGCAGGCATCGCGGATTTGAAAAACATGGAAATAACGGGGTTGGAGAGTTTACTTGCTCCATTTACCACACCAGTATTTATTAACGAATTTTACTTAGTCGGGGTTGGAGATTTTACTTACTCCATTTACCACACCAGTATTTATTAACGAAAAATCCAAGAATACTTTAAATGCATTATTTAATATTAGAACATTTAATAAGCTCATGAATAGCAACTTCGCTTTTTAGTTAACTCGGATATTTTAACATTTCTGAAACAATATTTTCTAATTGGTAAAACGTAAAAAATCGTTAGATCTGACAACTCTGTTGAAACTGGTCGTTCATCTGGCCGCATCTATAAACGCAATGCATCCGGCCAGCCGACTACCAGGTCGTTGCGACCTGGTCGTCAGTGAGTTAGAGCCCTTAATTATAAAAACATATTGACTGCTTTTTACGATGGAATTTCCCTAAGGCTATTTATTAATTAGTTCTTTTTTGAAAAACTTTTGGAAGTTAGAGTTTAGATTGTGGGATTTGTTTTTGTCTTTAAAAGGCATTTTTAAATAATTTACTTTATTTTTGAAACGCCTTGTATAAGGAGTATTAATATCACATAAATTAAGATGAAAATGATCTAGATGTAAGTATGCAAATATTGTATTGGGTTTAAAGAATAAGACTGGAATGTTTTACGCTATTGCAATCAATTTTATCATCTGTAAAAATCAGTGGCGGTTCGTCAGAGTAGGCAAGGTAGGCGACGCTATACAATTACGCGCGCTACAAAAGGCGTGCTACAAGCGGCGCTATACAAAATAACAATAGGCGGCTACCCTACAATTTTGTCAGATTTTAAGCGGTTTATTATATTATATTATTTACTATTAATGTTGCTAATACCGATATACTGTTAATACACGATGAGTGTGTGAAATAATCAATATTAATTTAATATTTGTGGTATTGTATATTAAAATATTCACTACCGCTGGCGTATGCTGACTGCGCCGCTGCGTTAGAAAACAAAATAATTTTGACCGTTGGAGTATACTGCTACTTCGTTCGGCGATTTCTACATCGCCTATTATATAGTCTGTGAAACGAATAACTTTGAATTTGACAGTTCCCGCGGGTTTTTCTAGTGTTAATTTTATTAGGTTAGCAACTTGCGGCCATGCTGACGCAATGCCGTCTCTAATAGAACAGCCTCGGAGCGAGATTTATGACGTCACGCTAGTTAGATAGGTACTACGGATTAATAAATATGTTGTAGAATACATGGAAAACATAATTATTCCTCGTATTTTTGGTTTGTATTTTAAACATGATATAGTTTACATGAAATATATATAATATACGGTTAATAAATACAATATATATACCTATTTATAATAATAAATATTTTGGCAAATAAACTATGAACCATACAAATGCAGCAAATCTTTTACAATATACAAATAATGAATAGGTACATAAGATAATGGGTAAAATGTAAAATATATTTTAAATTTTGGGGATTGAAAATCGATCTAATTTAACAAAAAACATTCACTATCTACTAATAGTGATGTATTATTATTTGAATTTACAAAATTTATATGTATATTTTGCAAGTATCAATGTTCGAAAAATTATATTTGCAAATAATACAATATCATAGAAAAAAAGGAGTCAGCGATGGCTACGAAATAAAGATCGTCATTTTATATGTAAAATTATTCTAAAATGTTTGATTTTCTTGGGATTTAGGTTCGGGGAAAACGCTAATTAAGTTTTCATTTGGGTTTTCATTATTTTTTCTTGGTCAAAAAAAAACGTTTCGGCTAACATTATAGTCTTCATCAGTGTTGTGTCATATGAAAAAAAAAAGTGTCGAATATAATCCAAAAAATTACTTAATTAAATTTATTAATCCGTAGTATCTAACTAGCGTGACGTCATAAATCTCGCTCCGAGGCTGTTCTATTAGAGACGGCATTGGTCTGATATTTAGAAATGTCAAAAGCTGATGAAATTTTACTTTTGATAATTATGACATTTCGTGTTGATTTTTGCAAGAAGTCACTTGGTTTATTATTTGCCTTTTCTATTTCTATATATATTCGTTCAGGCACTCAATTTAAAGAATATCAGTAACTTTTTTGACAGAGGGATTTTATATTTGCCATGTTGGTAAAAAATAATGTTCAAAATTCAGAGTTATTCATTTTATAGACTATAGCACTGTCCGAGTCGATGCACGACATACGACAGTGTTCTGTCTTTGTCTAACTCATTGTTCGGTAGCAACGCGACGTAAGTTTGAGTTGTATCGTATTAAAGAGGGCTTTAGGCGAAATCTTCGGTCGTCTCCGTATGAAGTCGCGGGTGCCCGGTAGGCATCATAGGGCAAGCTTCATCATACGTAGTATTTAAAACTTTTATATATAAATTAAATAAAACATTTTAAAGCAAATTGGAAACATTCTTCGGGCTTGTCCGAGACTATTCAAAATGGTATTAGTCGGTTGTATTTCAGAACATATCACAGAAATAATAGAATCCGAAATAAAAAGCGCGTTATTATATTCGGTGTAAGCAGACTATACAACAGACATCACAGAAAAGTATCAGTGTGCTATTTCAATTCAATATGTGGTGAAAAAGCGGTGAAGTTAAAAAACTTCTTTGCGAATTTTATTTTATGAAATATTAGATAACATTGTTACACATTTAGAAATAAGGTTTGCAGATAATATGTACGTCTCAATTATTTTTATTTATCTCTTTCCGATTCACAGAAATTTAGAGAATCCAATAAAAAACTTCCCAAGCATTTAACATCTGATTTAACAAACTTTTACTGCAATGTTTTGACCAACATAAATTAATGAATAAATTACAGGTATTAATAATAGGTTTAATAATTTCGATTATAAAATAATTTAAGGAAAGTAATGCTGGAACTAGATTTCCAGAGGTTTTTAAATTGTTTGTTTTGATTGTTACTACACCTTTTAGAAGTACTTGGGTTCAGAACATTTTTCATTTTGAAATACATTAAAAATTACAGTAGAAATTCAATGAAAAATAAACGTTTATCGTCACTTGCCTCTTGCCTTACTCTCAATCTAAAAAGATCTTTTCACAGCCCTTCAACAATCTCTGATGATTTTACTGATATAATAATAAATAACTTTTCTTTATTAAGACGCCGACTCATCAATTTAATATATAAAACATTATTCTTTCCTTTTTTTATTAGTCTCGAAAAACGAGTATGATAATGTTTTTCTTGGTAAATTTGATTTTAACCCAGAGATAATATAATTTTACGAACTGTAAAAACCGAAAAAATTTTGTCGCCTACCCAGTCCCACGGATCACGAGCCGCCAGTGGTAAAAATCAAATTTTTGACAATTTACATTTTAGTAATATACAATTAGATATTTAATAGCTATTTATGTAACTAGTACCTAAAATGATGTTTTTTAGGACGAATCATTACTGTTTGCGGACGAGGCGTTAGCCGAGTCCGAAATAGTAGATGAGTCCTAAAAAACATAATTTAGGTACGTGTTACATACACTATTTTTTGTCATACGCTTTTTACAGTTTTTTAGAACGCATATTTGCAAATTTTCCATATTTGAAATTATAATGTTTGAAAAAGTTGGCTTATAAATTCATATCTTAGTAACGAGTTTGTTTATTTCATCGCATTTTGACATGTCATTCGAAATTTGTCACAAAATCACACAAATTCATCAACAATTTTAAAATGTTCCAAAATCCCGAACATATTGCTAATAAGGCCAAAGAAATCGTGTTGGATTTACTTCCTGTGAAGTCTCGTGCCATTTACCAGAAAGAATATGATGTTTTTAATGAATGGAAAGAC